TTTAACTGTAGATCATCCTAAAGGATACATTACTCGAATTAACCGTAATAATGTTCAAGAAGTCGCTGGCAGATTGAGCAACGCCAAACCGCTTGCTTTTGTACTAAAAGAGGCTTTATATGTACGATCTATTATCATTGCAACAATGGATATATTTGATAAAAAAGATGATTTAAACATCGAAATTTTTCTTGATGATGATGATGATGGATATCACATACCTACCACTAATACTGTAACGAACACATTTATAACACCAAGTAAATCACGCACAAAAGATATGATTATGAGATGAAAGATGGTGCTTGAATATCAATATCATACTTGTAACTTGACGATTATTTTAAATAGTATTTTTGGATGAGAATTTTTTAATACATAATAAAGGTTAATAGATGTTAACAATTAATTTACATTGATAATTAACTATTTGTAGCCTCTTAATACAATTTTGGTAAAAATCTTTTTTTCTTTTATCCATATCAACAGAATGTCTAAATTTTTTTTAACAAACAATACATTAATATTAATATAAATTTTTTTTATAATATGTTGTGCCCAAGTCAAAAATAATAATTAAGGATAAAAGGTATATTTGTTCTAAATTATCTTTTACTATAATCCGTATAGCCACTCCCTAGCTACTAATACCTTGCTAATTCTCTCGTTAGATTCACTCTGATCTGTAGTGCTATTCCCTAATAACAGTACCTCGTTAAAAAAAATAGGATTAGTATGAAGACTAGCCCTTAATTCTTTGCTGACGAAGGAGGAGTTTCTTTGTTACTTCAATATTATGTTTATTGTTAAAGATATGTTTATTATTATGTTATGAATATAAAGCTACAATGAGATAAAGACAATGAAATATTCTATTTACATTGATCGAGTAGTTTGAATTCTTGTAGTGTTAATTTTGATTGACAACTCTTCTTTGCTGTTCTGCTAATTTGGTATTTTGTTAGAATAACTTCCTTCTAATTTTTGCTTTTGATAAATGTTCTTTGTATTTCTTTAACAAGTCTTTAGCCTCTTCTTCTCTATGAACATTATATTGTAAGCCATTTCGAAAATGTTAACAGATATCGCATAAGCCAGTCTCATAATTTGAATCTCGGGTGCTAGTTGATGTCATAATTTACAAAATGCGTCATGTTTTAACGACTTCAACATGCTGTCCTTTTCATGACTAGCAAGAAGTCTCTAATTCTTGCTGGTAGGAATATAAATGATTGGGTTACTGCTTTGGTAATCCATGAACTTCAGCATAATTTCCAAGAAAGTTATTTGCAGTAGTAGTAGCATTTTTAGCATAACATGAATTCTTGATACAAGAAGACTCTTATTCATTAAATGATTTCTGGCATGCACAACATATTAAGACATGTTTCTTTGACATTACATTATGATCCGAGCTCTCGTTTCTTTTTTGTAGTGATTATTGATTCACCGTCAATTGCAATAAGTTGGGCCATTAAGAAAATATCTTGTCCCAACGTAATTCTGAAAATTCATCCTTTAAAACCATTGGTGAGCAATTACAAAAAATGGTGTGCTTTTTCATGGCAAAAACCATAAACGGATGAATTAATAAACAGGAAATTTGTTAAAAAGTATTACAAGATAAATTAATATTAAATTGGTGAGTGTTGGGAAATTCAAGACTCATAAACTCTTGTCATTATTATTGTTATCATTATTGTTTGAGTTACACAAAGATGGATGTTTTTGTAAAATATTTGTGTTGAGCGCTGGGAAGAATCAACCACTATCTTCAAATGAACGAAATATTACTATTAATTATCATATATAAATAATACTAGTCATTATTACTATCGACTAGCATTGTTCAAAATGAAATTGATGTTTTTTCCACTACTATAGTTAGACATATTTAGAATTTATAATCATGCAAAAATCACGAGAAACCAGTTTGGCTATTTAATTTTATCCAAAAAAAAAAACATTTAGCCGATATAATTCCAAATCAGGAGGATTTGATAATCATTTTTATATTTAAATGTTATAGAGCAACAATTTAAAGATGTATAAGACTGATTATTATTATGAAATTGGTCCTTCATTGTTATTATGTCACAAAAAAGATTGAAAAACATAATGGATTGTTTTGAAATCTAATTGGTGTGTGTTTAAACACTTCTGTAAAAGTTAAAAAAAATTTTTTTTTTGTCTTATGTAATAATGACGACCTTGAAAATAGCCAAACCCAATTTATATCAACTAAAAAAATTTTGATGGGTTGAAGATAACGGTCAATTACTTTTTTTTATATTAAACTTTTTTTGTGTAACTTGATATAAATAATGAAATCTTCCCAGCATGCACATTTTTATCTAATCAATCATAATTATCTGGACCGTGCAAGGCTAGAATATTATCAAGCCATAGTCATCGTATTGTCGTCATTGTTAACTTTACACGAGGATATGACTCATTCGTGTGGATCACTGATCAAATTGATCAATTGTTAGTTTTATATGCATGCAGAATAACATCATATTAGTTGAAGTAAAATAATTAGAAATTAATTGATTTGTTAGAGACATTGAAATTGAATTTTACTCAAGCAATTGTGTATTATTTGTCGAATTCAGTCCAACGAGGTTGGAAGTTGGGCTTCGATACCTAAGGACTTATTTATGGCAAAGGTTTGGTTCAGATGCAACATCTTCACCATTCCAAATATTATTGCAAGGTAGAATTTGTGAATTACTCTTTCCATCATAGTCTCTGTTAAAGATGTTGAGATGCAGAGTTTTAACAAATAATTTCAATGTTGATGGTTTGGTCTTCGAGCAAAAGTTTCGTTTGCACACGCACTCAAAAAGAGTTATCTATCCCATCATCAAGAGTGATGGTATCAGATTTCAAGTGTTACCTGGTTATTTTTTCATATTAAACTCAATGGATTTTTTTTTATTGACTCCTATGACAAATTTAGCATTAGTAGAATTATGGCGGCGGCTGGGGCGGTTGACAATTTCTATATTCTGGACCCCTGTAATATTTTCCTTGTAGTATATATATACTAACAATAACAGCAATTCAAAAAAATAAAATAAAAAAAATTTTTTGATTGATTAATTAATTGATTAAATAAATTAAAACCATAACAATATCCAACTCAAGTCAATAATAACAATAACATAAACAACATAAATAAATAATGCAACATCTCTCTGTTACTGCATCATTAAAATTTAGTGAATGCAATAAATATCCCCCTCTTTCAACTTTGAGTATAAGAAGGTAGGAGAATAAAAAAGGAAAGAAAGGAAAAATTATTATAAATATAAAATAAAAAATAATTGTTTTTTTTTTTTATGATTTTCTAATCTCTAGATCAAAAACACCAACAAATATGGTTAAAAATTTGTTTTCACAAGTTTTACAATTAACATCAACCTCAACAACACCCACAAACACAACAACACACATCACTATCGCCAATGGTAATAATGACGAAAACATAATAGTAGAAGAAAAAGAATTTAAGAAAATAAATGTTACAAATAATTTATTACAAGATGAAAATAATAACCAGCAAGTTTCATTATTATCAGAAATGTTAAAGAAACGATCGGAACGACAACAATATCATAATTATTACAATAGTAATAGTAGTAATAACAAATCGATGATGACGATAAACAATAACAACAACAAATCTAAAAATCTTAAAGACGTTACAACAACCGACATCACTAAGCAATTGGATTCAAAACCATTACTTGTAACTAACATTAATAAACATAAAGAAGAAAAAGACAACGATAATAATAACAATAAACAACGTTTGAAATTTGTTGATTGTCCTTTGGTTCTTAGAGAGAAACCAATTCAACATGATGATGATGATGATAATGATGATGACGATAATAATACTACTAATGACGATAATGTTTATTATAATAATGAAAAAAAAAAAGCAACATTATCAACTTCAACCAAAAATGGTATAGATAACAAAAATAAAAATAGCATTATAAAACCAACAAATCTTTTTTCACCTCCACCATCCAAATTGTTATTAACAAAAAAATGTGCAAAAAGAACTTTTGATGATGATGAAACTTGTAATAAAGGAACTTGCAGCTGTTCTGAGGAAAATGAAATAGGAAAAGATAATGCAGACAAAAGCTACGATAACGACGATGACATCATTGCTAATAATAGTTGTTCCAATTATAGCTATAGTTCTACTGAAGATGGTTGTGACGATGATGATGATTTTGTAGATGAAGATGGATATATAGAAGATGTCGAGGATGACGATGAAGAAGAGGATGATGACGATGAAGAGGATGATGATGAAGAGGATGATGAAGAGGATGAGAATGATGATGTTGAAGAGGATGAAGATGAATATGATACTTTTATAGATCAATCAAGAAGAATAGACTCGACAGATTCAGAGGAGGAGGAAATCTTACCAATAATAGCTAAACGTGAAAATGCAAAACATACCAACGAGTTTACTTCTATATTAATTAAATCTACAATCAACAAATTCAATTCAACTAATCCAGCTAATTCAATTTTTCCTAATAATAATAATACCACCACGTCTGCCACATCTACATCTACATCACCGACATCATATCGTTCCACTTCATCACATTATTCAACAGCTGTCTCAATATTAACGCCTACAAATAATCCAAATTCAAAATATTTACCATCTATGATAAGAAAAACCAAATCATTACCTTACTCAAGACGTCTAATTATATGGGATAACAGTAATATTAACAATTATAGTAGTAACAATAATAATGATGATAATACTACCAATAATGATAACAACAATACTATTAACAACAACAACAACAACAACAACAACAATAATACATCGAATATTGTTCCTTTACCAAATCCCATAAACAATATTCATCGTCACACGGCCATAAAAGTAATTCCAATACCAAATAATCATCATAATCCTGACTATTTATATCAACATTACCACAAGAAAAATCATCACAGAAGAAAACACCACCACCACCATCATCACCGCCATCACCACCACCATCATCACCACCACCACCATCATCATCATCATCATCATAATCATAATCATAATTGTAACAAAAATTCAAATGAAGAAATTGACACAAAAAATATTTTAAATTACTGCAAAGATGAAGGAGATGATGCTTTATTACTTTGGAATCTTTCTATTTGATGGTTTTATTAAAAAATATCATTATTTGTTATTTATTATTTGTTATTTGTTATTTGTTATTTATCAATTATTAATTATTATTTGTTGTTTATTATTTATCATCGCTTTCATTCATGTTATACACACACACACACACATATATATCATTCATTACATATTTATTTATTGCTTATTTATTAGACTCGCAATATATTACTTATTAGACTGGGTGGATTGGATTTTCCTTGTGGATTTATTTTCATGTTTATATTTATTTAAAAAAAAAAAAAACATTCATTTAGTAACATTAAAAAAAAAAATCATTTTAAATTTCATAATTTCTAAATTTTTCGTATAATTCGTCTTGTTTACTTTTTTTATTATTACATTGATAACTTCTTTGTTGGTTTATTTCGCTAACAATGTTATTACCATCTTTATTATTGTTGTCATTATCATTTGAATGATTCTTGATGGTAAGTTGTGGATTTGGTGAAGGTCTCCAGTGAACTGCCTAAAAACATAATGATTATATTAATAACAAAGTAAATAGAATATAATACATCAAATCAATCAACATATGTATGTATGTGTGTATACATGTCCTTTCTTGACGATTAATTCTTTCCATAACTTGTATGAAATTTTTAGTGATCCTCTTTTCCATTTATCATAATTCAATCTTTCGTCTTTATCAATTAATATTTTGTAAGCTGTTGTTAATCTATTGAATTGTTTTTCAGCTACAAAAAAGAAATTTAATTAAAAAATAATTTTAAAATTTTTTTTGATTGATCGGTTAAATAAACTCTTCTTAAAATCACCAATTTTTTTATCTTCTTCATTCTGTATTTTATCAGGATGGCATTGTAATACACGTACTTTATATTCTGCCGAAATTTGTTCTGACTTTGTTTAAAAAAAAAATCTTTTTTAACAAATAATAATAATAAAGAATAATCATCGAATAATACTTACAGTACTTGATTCAAAACATCCCAATACTTTATATAAATCTTCATAAAAATTTTCCTCTTCTTCTTCCTCTTCCTCCTCTTCCTCCCTTCCACCTCCTCTTTTTTCTTTCTTAACGGGAAAACCAAATGATTCTAACAAAGAATTAAAATCCATCAATTATGTATGTTTATGAAATGTGTGTATCAAATATTGTTAAAATTGAAACTTAAAAATTTTAACAATTATTATTGCCTTGATATGACATATTACTTAAAACAGTAAATGACGTGAAAAATGCACCCAGTCTTTAAAATAAGTAAACTAACTAAATGCTACTTTATTATTTTTATTTTCAATCAAGTATTAATATATCATTGTGATCGGGCTCTCTACAATGAGGGTAATCCAACTTCCAAGTGATTATATTTGGTTAAAGGCAGGCATCTTTTCCTTTTGATGTACCAACCGTAATTCAATGATATGGTTTGGATTGTTTTGTAGTTACCGAACAGAATAATAAGACTAATTTGATTTTTTTTAGTTGGCATACAAAAAATTCGCGCAATTCTCAATCATTATGAACTATCTTTAACAAAATAATCCGGTTAGACCTGCTAGTTTAAAGCAGGATTCAACCAACCCTGGCAACTCAACTTGGCCTAACTTTAATCTATTTTACTTTAGAAAGAATATTTGGTCTTCTTTGGTAGAAAAATTCATACATAAATTTAAAATCAAATGCATAGCATGGTAAAACATCACCATAATTCCAATGACAAGGTAAAAGAAAATAATGATCGGGATAATATTGATGATGAGATTGTAACATTTAGATTCAACAGAACAGTGCAAGTTTATATATTTGTAAACATTTAAAAAAGCGAGATTTAAATAATTAAATAGTAATTTTTCATAAAAGTTTTATTTTATTTATAATTACAAACTTATCTTATCAAGAAGTCACTATTAAATAAATTACTTGTTCAAATGTTTTTTTACATCATTGTTTTCATTATTATTATTAATGTTATTATATTTTATTATAAAAAAGTGTGAATGAATTATTAAATTATGCATGTATAAATTTTTTTAAAATTAAATAGTTAAATAAAAATAATTATATAATTTAAGTTGTAGCAGCTAAACCTATTTTTGGTGCGTTTGCTACAAAAGCAAAAATAAGTCCTGCGGTACATCCTGCTATTGGAAGAGTGATTATCCATGAAAAAAGGCACCAAGCTAATAATTTCCAGTTCAAAGCTTTGACATTGCCATTACAAAGACCGACACCTGCTGTTGCACCAGTAATACAATGCGTTGTTGAAATCGGTAAACCAAGTTTCGATGCTGTTAATACGGTGAGAGAGGTACCCAATTCCATGGAGAAACCACGAGACGGGGAATGGTATGTAATTTCGTTACCAAGTGACCTCATCACATGATAACCATAAGTAACAAGACCAACGTCTATAGCTATACCACCTAATGCTAAAATCCAAATTGGCACTGGAGTTACTCCAGCTGGGTCGACTGCTCCTGTGGTGTAGATGAGATAGATTGTGGCTAATGGACCAACTGCGTTTGCTACGTCATTTGAACCATGAGCAAATGAGGCAAATGCCGCAGTTAAGATTTGTAAAAATGAATATAAAGTTTCAGTGTCATCATCATATTTGACGGCAACAGCATGCATAGCTTCATTTTTATCATGATTATAATCTGCAATTTCTTTGTTGAGACCATGGCCAGCTACTGCCAATATTTTTACCCATGATTTTTGTACCCAGTTAATCTCCTTATCTTCTTCTGATTTATTTTCACCTTCTTTGCCATCAGGATTTTCTGAGATTTCTTCATTAGCTTTTTCGGCTGATGTGGCTCCACTTTCAGCGGAAGTTTGATCAATATATCCACCTTTTTTAATGCATGGTACTATTGGAATATGATACCAACGAAGTCCAGTTTCTTTACCAATAATCTTACGTCTGAGCCATTCGGCATAGAAAAAGTATGAAAATGCTGAAACGATCAATGTAACACCAATTGTTACAGGTGCAATAACAACTATATATATATAATGATGATACATATTATTAATAATTAAAAAAAATATAAAATGTGTGTAAATATATATACATATATTGTAATATTAATATTTACCTGGTGGAGTTTTGTCAAGTTTAAAAGCAGGAGCACCCTTATAGATAAAGAATGTTACATTGACGGCAATAGTTATTCCAAAATAGATTGGTACAGCAATGATACCACGATTGAATGAATTCGTGCTCCTAAGTACGGCATATTTTGTAGAAAGGAAAATCAAACTGGCTATGACAGCAGCCACAGCAGGTGATAAAAACCATGAGGTAATGATCTTTCCAACACCATTATAACCCCAATCTATTGATTGAGTACCAAAAGCGCTAATACCAACACCAATAATAGCACCAACTATTAATATATAATATTTAAATGTTACGTGATTAACATTTGATATAATTAAATAATAAATAACAACAATGATTATTATGATTATGATTAATACTAACCAATTGAATGGGTGGTTGAAACTGGCCAACCTTTACTTGAAGCATAAATAATCCAAGTGGATGATCCTACTAAAGCGCATACCATTGCAAGCTATTATGAAAATATATAAATATATAAAATAAATATAAAAACGTAATTTTAAAATGACAAAACGAATTGTATATTTTTGTTTTTGATTTTTACCATAAGAACTTCAGGTTTATCAACAAATAAGTTTACATTTATAATTTTGCCACGAATAGTTTCGGCTGTGTTTGCACCTATATAAAAAATGATTTTTAATGTAAATTTCGAATTCCATATCAATACGTTTAAACGAATAATTTGTGACGAGCAAAAGTTCTCAACATACCAAGAAGAAATGCTCCTAAAAATTCAGTGAAAACTGCAATAGCACATGCTTGCTTTAACGTTAAAGATCTAGAACCGACGGATGTGGAAAATGAATTTGCTACATCGTTGGCTCCTATACCATAACCATCGGCAAAAGCAATTATGGAGCCTACTACTAATAAATACAGGTAAGCTCCTGGTTCCATTTCGGAGAGAGTTTTTTTTTTTTATTAAAGAAGTTTTCGACTCGTTAAAAAAAAAGAAGATTGTGAAAGGTGTTCGTAGGAAAAATTTAATTGCTAAAAGCCAAGGTTTTTTTTTTATTTTTAATTTTTTTTTTTATCGGTAATAGAAAAACGAGAAAATTCATGGCACTTTTATATGAAATATTATTAATATTATCATGATTCAAGTTAGTTTGTGAGACAAATAAAAAACCTAAATCGAACCAATTTCAAATTCTAAATCTTTGAATTAAAAATTAAAAGTAAACATACACCGGTTCTATCGACGGTTTAAAAATATTTGGATGCACACATTTTATAAATTTTATATTATTTCCACAATATGTGTTCATTAATAATAATAATAGTAACATTTTTTTCGGAAAAAATTTAGAATTCTTATTTTAGATAATTCATACAATTTAGTGAATAAATATTCTTTGAAGTAATTTCTATTGCAATACAAATAAATTTCAATACCCCGTTTTTCTACAAGTATTAGTAAATTAATTTCTTTTCTTGTTTTATACTAGTATGTCTCGAATTCAAAAATCCTTTTTTGTAAAGATGGTGTGGGCGAGCTTATGAAATCTTGATCTACACAATGTAAAACCATTTCATTTTCTTGGGACGTCCGAAATTTTGTAAAAAATTAGCCACAAATCAAGTAAGAAAAATCTTGGTGTCAAAGTTTATCAACCAAATTACCACATTTGGAAATTAGTCCTGCCCATATTTTTTGTATTGATAGCACATAGAGAGTCTCTATCCAATATAGGATAGGATTCATTAGAAAAAGATGTTTTGGCTACATGGATCAGGTTTCTATTTTACATATGGATGATCAACCATTGTCTGATTAATAATAATTATAACTAAAAATGTCGACAATTTTTAAATTGTAATACTAAAAAGGAAAGAGACAGTATAATTTTATTGCTTAAAAAACAAACATTTTGTATATACTACCTTTTCAGTTGTCCATAATTATTACATAGTAATTTAGTTAAGGGAAATTAATTATTAAAATAGTAGTATTACATTCTTGATAAAACCTTAATAATAAAATAAATATTAGATTAAGATATAAATATTGATTGGTTAATCAAAATTTTTTTCGCAATGTTAAGGTTACTATTACTATTATTAATAAAATTTGCACCGATCCTTTGACTCAACAATTATAACAGGAATTTTTTGCATTTGTTTATTTATTTATGTCCTTAAAAGACAATCCGTTTTGGTAAACGTATTTTTCATTCTTTACCAGAAAAAAAGCGCGAACACGTGTTTTTTTCGCATCGGGATACCTGTCAACTCAAAAGATGTCACTCATTCACCCTATACCTAAATTTCACGTTGGGCATTTTAATCAGTAGTTTGTCATAGTTAAACCTTAATCTTCTGTTTTTTTTCGGGTTTTTTTTGGGTTACACGTGATCTTGCATTTCAGTGATTTTTTGTTGGGTAGTTTTCATACACTATAGTAATTAAAATCGAAATCGAAACATTTATAAATGAATATATTATACCTTTTCAGTTTGGCTTTAAACTATAAAAAATAATAATAATTCTATGATTAAAAAAGGCCCATATTTCTTTCTGTATACATAAATAAAAAGAACCTTAAAAAATCAAGGAAACGATCCAGTATACATTTGCAAAAAAAAACTTTTTTTAACAATGGTTAAATGTTCCATTCTATCATAATTTTTTGACTTGACCAATCAAATATGTGTGGAAAATTCCTTTTAATTGGCTAATTTTAAATTCACACGATAGATGAACTTTTTTTTTGAAAACAATACTGTATGCAAAATTGATAATAATACAACGACATAAGGTTAGATTAATTTTGCGAGTGTTTCATGCATAATAATTAATAATTTAAAATAATTTATAATGTGTTTCCGTATATATCCGATATTAAATCATGGAATTTACCAAGAACCCCGGATTATATATACAGAGATGTGTATAATCCAGAATCCCTTTTACTCTCAAAATAACTCTTAGTATGAGTTATTAAATAGCCTGCCCTGAATTTTCCACAGGCGAAAATTCAATCGTATTTATACACTTTTCCCCAAGCTGGTATTCCTAGCAGAGTTAATAAATACATGGAAATAGAAATCAACATCAATAAAATAAATGGGGATCCTCTTTACTTTCTACATAAACAAATTTTTTTTAATTTGTTCATTAAAATTTTTAGATGGCATCATGTATTGCATTCCCAAAGATTGATAACAGAAAACACGTAAGGCTCATGGTCAATTTATTGATTTTGATTGGTAGAAAAAAACCTCGTGTACAAATTTCGGTGTGTGACGAATGCAGATTTCTATGAATTTAGAAACTATCTGCATGAAATTATAATGTATGACGTTACGTCCGTACTGAATTTTATGTTTCGAATATTCGACATTGCCTAGTAAGGCATAAGATTTTTCAAATTTCAAATTCAAATATTTGTTACACAAGAAACAGGTAAAATTGTCATGTCGATCATTTATTTACTATTATTAATCAAGTATTTTGAAGCGGCCCTAGCCAGTGTATAAATTTCGGTGTGTAACTAGTACAGATTTTCCAAACCAACATATACTTGATTTTTTATAACAGTGTTACTATTTACATAATTCTTGATTACGCTGATGCATATTCTTAAAGCCAGTAAATAAACGTTGGTTAAAATTTGTTCTATTCATTGATTGGTCAGATTATTCGAGTTTTGTACAACTATAAATTACCTTTACAATGCTTGTATTGTATTACACCACCATGCGCTCCCCGCGCTGATTTTCCAAATCATTTCTACGATCAAAAATCAAAACATCTAAAATCCATATAATTTTCCGTTCTATACCAAATTTGACGTGAGAATTTTCTTGGCATTTTTTTTTAAAAGTATAAATAAACCAGATAGATGACCTTATAATGAATAAAATTTAAATCAAACAAAATCCCAACCGATCAAATGTGTCCTCCATTCCAAATTCGGATGGTTTCATGTTAGAATCTGTGTAGTTTCAGGTGCCGGATTTTTCACTGATGCTTATGATTTTATTTGCAATAAACATAATCGCCGTGATATTGGCATATGTTTATTATGGATCAACACTTTTCTTGTCTCTGTTGATACGTGTTAAAAGTTAGTACTGCAATTGGTACTTTGGCTGATCAATTGTTATTTGGTTTGTTGGTCGTAAAAACGCGAATTACTATTATATAAAATTCTATTCATGTACATTTATTGGTGATCGTTAAATAAATTGTTAATCAATCAGATGTATGAAATCGATAATTATTGCTACCATCTGATATGACAACAACTGTAGTTGGATCAAAAGATAATAGACTTACTTTAAAACAGAACTTGACAAACACAAATCAAAATCTTTCACTTGGAATGAATTTAGAGAACATTTTAGTAGATGGAAAAATGTAAAGTTTTATTGGAACGTCATTGTCTTTATTTGCATTGAACGTGGCATTTTGTGGTACTGGTTTGAATAATGCAATCATATTGGATGCTATAGGATATTCATCAATAATATTGCTATTGGAAACATTACGATAGCTTTATTGGGTACTGTACCTGGTTATTGTTTACCGTTTTCACAGTGATAGGTTTCACTATGTTAACCGTACCTTTTGTCACACTCGGATTCGGTTATCAAGACATACTAATACTTGATAAATCTCTAGTTTTATACATTGTATTATTTAAGGTAAGCACATGCATGTTATAGTATGTTATTACGCTATAAAAAATTTTTTTTTCAAACAATTAATTTTTTCTCTCTCTCAAATAGTTCTTCCAAAAATTTTGGATCAAATACATTAGATCGGCAGCTTTTGGCATTTCAGCAGCATCAGAAAATCTGGCGAGTTGGATTCTTACGATTGAAAGGTTTTGGTGGTTATAAGAATGCATTTGTTCCACATTTATTAAATTATTTTAATTATTGATGTTTATTGGATTATCTGCTACATTCTTAATACCTGAAACTAAAGGTTTAAGTTTGTAAGATATAGCAGGTGAAAAACATTTCAAAAGAGGATTAGTTTTTAAGAAAAATTTGTAATTTATATTATGTAATCTCATTAATAATATATGTAAAACGTAGACATTTATAAAAAATTTTCTAATTTCCCAACCTTTTTTTTTATATCTTCGATTAATTACTATAAATGTTTACTTCAAAGAGTAACAGTAAATTACCACCCAAACATGATTCAGAACGTGCAATACGAGAACATGAGGTTTTACAATACAAAAATAAGATTGTAGAAGTTACCGAAGCACTTGGGTATAAAGAGATACATTAGATATATATATAAACATTCAATAAACTACTTTATAAACTTTGTGAAACTTGCGATTAATTATTTTATTTTACATGTAATAATTAATAGTAAAGGAAAATTACCAACTACTTCACAAATATCCGAAGAGATTGATGAAATTCATCAATCAGAATTATTATACGATGCAACTCATGGTATCTCTGTGTTGGGTAAAAAAGTTTTAGCAGATTTGGAAAATTTGTTAGATTCTTTGAAAAGATTCTTTGAGGAAAAAAATGAATTACAAAATGTTGTTGTTTATTATGGTACTCGAATCGTTAAAGATATCGAATATTAATAATATATATTTATATATGTTCAAAAATTATTTCTTTACACGTCAATTAAATATAACACGTCTTTTTTTTCCTTCTAATCATTAATTAAAAAATAGCTACTAAATTACCATCATCTCGTGAAGGAATTGATCAGGAAATAATCGTGACTGAAATCACCAATAGATCATTAGTTGAAGAAGGAATAAAAAACATATTGAATATCTCACAGTTAATAGTTACAAATTCTGAATTTCGTAAATTGATTAACGATATTGGTACAATTGCTCAAGATATAATCGCAAAACATGAACCATCATCATCAGAAAAACCTACGCCAGAAACAAAAGATAAAAAAGAAATAGTTGCTGAAATTAAAGATGGTGAAAAGGATAAAGAGAAAGGATCGGAGGATAAAAAAGGAATAGTTGCTGAAACTAAAAAGGATAAAGAGAATAAAGAGAAAGGGATCGGTGAAGCTGTTAGTAAAACTAGTCAAAAAGCACAGGAAAAAGTATCTACTGCTGCAAAATCAACGACAGAATTAACCGAACCTCATATTAAAGAAGATAGTGAAGAAATAACCTCTGATATTATTTCCAGTTATCAACTTTCATCAGAGGCATGCGAACGATTAGTCACTCGTTTCAAAAATGTGATTATTGAGATACAAAAGAAACCCGAGTATCAACAAGCGATCAAAGATCTAATAAACGTAATTCCTCAAATTACCGAAAAATCGAGCGAATTTGCCACTCACATCACTCAACATATTGTTGTTGTTGGCTCTAGCAGTACCAATGACCAACAAAAACGAGGATCAACATCATCAGCCGTTGAACAAAATACAAAAGATGTAGAAAGTTTTGCTAACAATCGATCGTTATATCCATTAATTTCAACATTAAATGATTTTGGACAAAAAATTAAACATGATGAAGTTTTACGTGAATTTCTTAAAGATCTTGAGCATTTTATTCTTTCCTCGTTACTTGAACCGGAATTTGTTAAGAAAACCGATTACATTCAACAAGGATCTGGTGTGATTAATAAAGGAAGAAAACTTTTATTGGATCATTACTGTGAATTAACTCAAACGATTGTTGGTGAAGTCCAGGAATTTAATAAAGCGATGATGGAAGATAAAGCTACAATGGAATTAAAAAGAGATGTTGATATTTTAATTGAAGATTTATTCTTGAATGAAATTGGTCAATTTACCTTCAAATTTCAATTGGTCAAAGATTTTTCGATTATTTTACCTCGTCTTGCTAAGAGACTTGAATACATTCCTTTACCAGAATATGAATAGTAAGTTGATGATTTTTTGTTTGTTTTTGAGGGTTTTGTTTTGCGATCGAGAATAAATATATTTTGATTTCTTTTATATATAGTTCTGATGAAAATATAGAGTTTAATGCTGATAATATTGTACTTCATGTGCAACATGAACTTTTTCCAAATCATATTAATATTGGATTAAATGCTGAAATAGGTTTAAATCGACCAGAAGAGGATAGGGTTCGTAATTTAATCTCGATTGAAATGTAAGTAATAATAATAATAATAATAATAATAATAGGGTTTTTTTTCTTGACAATTCAATTCATTTAAAAAACAACTTTTAAAATCATAATTCATAATTATAACAGTTCTAAATTTCATATCGATGCTCATGATATTGTTTTTCATTATAAAAAGAAAAAAGGATTCTTTAGATTTGAGGATGTAAGTTTAATTTTATTATTATTATTATTATTCATTAGAAAATATAAGCGCGCCTCCAACCCTACGATATATATATATATATATAATATAGGTTGGATATTTGGATTTCTCAATTCCACAAGATGGTGGCATAGAACTTAATTTTAGAGCAATATTAACTCTACCTACTGATGGTAGTAAACCAATTTCTATCAAACTTGAACAAAATGATATTCGTATTTCTGAATTCAAATTAAGATTTCATCACACTAAACACAAGTAAAAAAATATTATTATTTAACATTTCTTTTGAATTTTTAAAATTTCTAAAAATTTTTTTTTTCCAATATATATATATATATATATTAGTTTATTATACAAAATCTTTTTACCATCAATTGAAAAGAAATTTAAAAAGAATCTAGAAGATTTGATCATCAAACAAGCACATCAACTAGTTGAAAGATTTGAAGAACAAATGATAATTGTTCAAACACAAGTAATGCAAAACTATCGATGTCATTCTACTACTAAAGATATTGGTAATGATCAATCAAAAGATAAATTAAAACAAAAAATGACATGGAAAAGTTCTGCTTTTGATCCAACACTTGGTACTACTACTAGTAGTAGTGCTGGTGGTTCTGGTTCTGGTGCTGCTGGAGGGGGTGATGTTGATTATAATGTCACTGCTTCATCAACCAATATTACTCCAATTATTCCAGTCACTCCCATCACTCCCATCACTACCGTTACTCCTGCTGCTACTACTTATAATAGCACTTCCATTATTAAAACCACTACTGATGGTAAAACTCCTAGCAAGAAATAATAATAAATTCGACTTATGAGATATATTCACGGGGAGAAAAGGTGATAGGGAAAGAAATAATAATATAAAGTTGATTTAGTTAAAACAAAATATATAATATTTTTTTTGCTTTAATATTTTTTTTTAATAATATGATATTGCTAGATAGATAAATACACATATACACACGTATATATATATATATATATATATATAACTATTTGCAATTTAATAATCAAAAAATGTAAATAAATAAATTCTAATAAATTCTAATAAAAAACCCAAAATATGGGAGCTTTTCAATAGAAACACGTGAAACTCGCAATTTTTGAGTTAATGTCGTCCCTATATAATTCTTTACGTAGAACATTTTTGGTTTGCCCGTTTTGCATAGCAATATTTTTCATCAAGTTTAAACCAATAGCAAATCCCTTGAAATGTAAAAAAATCATTATTTCCAGAATTACTCTCTCGCGTTTCTATTGAAAGACCCCCATACATACATACATACATACATATATATATATACCTATATAATGTTTTCTTCTATAAATTCTATAATATGGCTCTTTGATAATCATCATTATTGTTTACAAAACAAGTAAAATATTTCTAGCGACACTATCATTCAGTATCTGACAACATTCTTTGCAAGATTTTTGTTCTTCTGCCCATTTCTCTATAATCCCATCAACTACAAAATCATTTGATAATTTAAGTATCCTTTTCTTCTTTTCTATACCATTATTGTAGTCATTATTATCATCCACCACCAATGGTTTCAATATATAAATATGTGATTGAAGAATGCTTAATTGTATTTTCCAAAATTGTTTTGATATTTTCAAATTCAATAAAATTACCGGTAATTTTATCGAAATTACTTTTTTGTATTTCTTTATTTTATTTGTTATCAATCTTTCATGTTTCAATTGATTATATTTCTTTATAAAATAATAAATATAATATCCAAGAACTGTCATCAATGCCAAATAAAAATCCAAATTCTTGTTATTAAAATTGGAGTTAGAATTGATATTATTATTATTGTCAGAAGTAGTAATGTTATTAATGAGATTGGTAAAATTATTAGTAACATCAATAATATTGGTATTATTACTACTACTACTACTACTACTATCACTACTGGTATTGCCACGATTATTATCGTTATTACTGTTATTGATGGCCGTTGTGATACTGGAAATTGTCAAATACGTTGAAAGAAAAATAAAGAATGGAATTACGATAAAATCCAGTGATGAGTTGAATACTTTTTGAAAAATTTCAGTTTGATATTCTAAATGATTTCGATCATGTTGTTCTTGTACTAGAAAATCATCACTCTCGTCATCACTGTCATTACCATATTCATTATGACTATTGTCATTGTCATTAACATCATCGCCATCAATATCTTTAAATGTTTGCTTAATATTTATAGTAAAGCTACCACGACTACTAGTAGAAGATAAAGAATTTATAAAATCGGTAAAATTTGTCTCCAATTTATCTAAATCTCTTTCTCTATTTTTTGCCATATCTTCTAACAATGTTAATGTTTGTAATAAATCATCAATACTACAAAAATGATTTTGATTTTTTACTTTTGTTTTTGTTTTTTCATCAATTGAAAAAAGCATCTTTAAATATTCAATAAAATCTTCTAAATACATTGACATTTTCAATGATTCTCTGGCTCTTTCGTAAATCAATTTATTAAATTCACCACTTAATTCATTCAATAACTGTTGTTCGCTATCATCGTCATCATATAGACTACTTCTACTTCTACTACTACTAACTTTATTATTAATATTATCGGTATGGTATAATAACTCCTTTAAACATCGAAAAGCTACCAATACTTCTTCAACACTATTTTGTAATATGTTTAAATCAGGAAATGTTATTTGTTCATATTGCTCCAAATCAATTAAAACCATTTTTTTATTAAAATATTAAAACTGTAATTTGAGGTGCATACAACATTCCTTTTTGTTATTTATATTATGTCGATCGTCATTCAGAATAAACGAGAGTTACACTTGTTTATATTTTGTGGAATTTGTGGTAGGAATTCACGATAAATTGTAAATAGGTTTTTAAAAAAATTCAGAAGGTTGGGAAATCTATATTTCTGAGCATGATAAAAAATATAGTAAATGTATTTATTGTTCACCAATGTCTCAAAATATAATGGAATATTTGTAAGTAAATAGAATCATGAATCGCTCTTTATTTTCTACCATATTCAGGATATTAAATAAATTTGTACACGTAAAGATGTCGGATCTTGAATTTATACTGTACAAATATGACTCCAGTCTTTGTAAGCTATAGCAATAAATGTAAAATAAAACTTTAAATAATTGTTTATGCTTATTAATAAATTGATAAATTTATATATACCAAGGGAAAAATAATTTTGTTCTCATTCGATTTTTTTTTTAAAGATAATGTTAATTTATATTTTTTTGGATCCCCTATTTCCCTAGTCTGGTTACTTGCGTTCAGCCACCTTTTCAGTCATGAAGCCCAACCTATAATTTTTTCCATGTTTATAGACAAAAAAAAAACAAAATAAACCATAATAAGAGGCATAACTGAACATAATAACATTTTTATTGATCAAAAACATTTATAATTGCCAATCTAAATCAGCAATGCTGGGAAAGTGGTTTAGTTGCGTCTGATTTTGACCTTTGAAAGCATTCAATCCTACAGTATAAATAATATGACAAACAGCAAATGACTTTGATGAACAACCACAAAGGTGTCGCTGTTCTGCTTATCACCATCCCTGATAATATCCAGCTTTCAGTCACAAAGATGTCGATAATTAATATCAAATTTTTTCCAACAACGTATTCACGATTACAATTCATACCTATGAATAATTGTTTTGTAAACTTGTTGAAATAAAAAAATAACACTTTTTAAATGTTTACCATCCAAAGTTTCAAAACTTAAATATACTATTCCCATGTATATCGATATTACTATATCTATACGTTCAGAAGTCATTAAAGAGAATCTCATTAGCAAAACTTCATGCAGTTAAATGAAAAATCAGATTAAAATAGGTTGAATAATAATAATTTATCTATCATTAAACTACTTGAAAAGCATAACGATTTCCTCCGCTGTTTCATCCAATCTGGCCAGGTTCTTTTGATATCTGATTCGAGGTGAAAGAATACTATTTCTTGAATGATTAACGTCGATTTCTCATTAGCTTTAATGCCCGGGTCTAATGCTCTTACGATTTCTTTGGGAAAATTCGCATCGCTTTTTTAGTAGATAACTCCCCGCATATATAAAATAAGTATTGTATATTAATAAACAAGTTTGAAGTAACATCTGTTTATTTAGGATGATCAAACTAGAAGGTTACAAACAACATTAAAGATTATGGACGAACAAGCAATGAAAAAAGTTCAAATTACACAAGGTTCCTTATTATCGTTATAATCGGATAGAAATTTCATTTGATTAGTATCCAAAGCAGCAGATCTACAAGTTCTTTGCATTGAATTATACTTTTAATCATGATTATGTCATTTTTTCTATTATTACTGTACATGGTTAAATAAATCACAGGGAGAAAGTCAAGGAGGAAATATAGGTTGGTGAGAGTCTGATGATCCTGGATGAATCATACAGTTATCCTCGTGTGTTATTATAGCATTTAACAAAAGTTTTCACGTTTTTAGGAAGAAGTTTGTGCATGGATATTTGCTTAAGCGAACCTATGATTCAGAATGAATAGAATCAGCCGTTCAGAAATTAATATTTGGTCAAATTTGTTCAGTATTAAACACGTAAATTTTGTTGGCTGATTGATTTGGAAATTTATCATAAGCTGATAAAGATTGTTTTGGAAAAGAATACATACATACATGTAGAATTGAATTTTGAAATTTTTTATATGACATAAATAAAAATATAGTTTAAAAAAATCATTCATTCTTTACTAACTCATAGACTTCAAGTTCTTCTAATGCGAATAAATCATCTTTTTTTATAAAATTAAAATTATTTTCATAGGAATCATCAAAACTCCCATCAAAATAATAATAAAAATAAGGATCCTTATTGATGCTATTAAATAATACAAAATTGTTAAAATACATAGTATATTCATGAAATTTTATCTTATTTATAGTTATACTAATATTTTGATTTTGTTTAGCAGATCCTATTGCTTTTTTTGGATTTTTGACTCTACTTATTATTGAATTCATTATTTGATTTTCATCAATCTTAAAAATAAAACTTTTATTTGTTTCAATAAAATATCCTTTGTCTAAAGATTTTCCTTTAATATTCCAACCAATAGGATTATAACCACCAAATAATTCTCCTGTTTTTTTAATTTTCATAATTGCTATAGTCTGTTCTACATTATAACATTTTTTCTCAAAGACAGATCTAGAAAATCCATCTTGAGTTCCATTGAGAATTAACTTAAATTCATAAGGCAAAGTATTTGCATTATATGAGTCGTTTTTTTTATCAATCCAGCTAGAAATTAAACATATTTTTTTTAAATTTAATAATTTTCCTCTTGCTGCTTTTGTTCTTGGACCTTTCTGAAGTAATAATTTTGGTTTCCAATTATCACTGAGATAATATTGAAGAAGTTCTTTATATATTTCTTTATCAAAAGATTTTTTAAATAATGTAATTTTATCATGAAAATCAGTTGAAGTAATATGATTGAATCTTATCAATGGAATAATATCTATTAGTATATTTTTTAATATGATAAAATCATTTTTGTTCCACCCTGAAATATCTTTGTTTAATTCATTGTTTTGTCCTATACCCCATTGAATAACAAGATTCCAAATGTCAATTTCACTTACTTCCAAATCATTTCTTTTTAGTATAGATGTAAGAATAGATTTATCAATATTATTAAAATCTGATGATTTTAATAATAGTTGAGGATTGTCATAAATTAATTCATCAAAATGATTTTGAAGTAAATTGAACAATTGGTGATTGGATGAAAATTTATGAACATAAACTAAATTATCTTGAATCCAGTTGTTTTTTTCAACTATTAAGTAATTTTGTAAATCTTCAATTAATTCATTAAAATCTAATTCATCACATGCTTTAAGAAGTTCAAGAATTTCTTTTGGATTCAAGTTATCTATGTTCATAATTCCATTGTAAATATATCTAAAAATTTAAAATTAAAATTTTTTTATAAAAAATTATTATAATCATTTATAATTAATTAATAAATAAATAATTCTTACATCAAAATAATTTCAAATACTTTTGGAGAAATATTTTTTTTTTCAAATAAAATAATACTACCATCGTCAGATTTTTTGATCCAACTATTTGAAAAAGCAGTCTTAAAATATGAAGACCTTGCTTTTAAAATAGTAGAATGAGCTTTAAAAGTTTTAACATCCAGACCTTCTCCAACTCTAATTTCTACATCATAATAATCTGTTTCAATTAACAACTTTGTTAAATCATTTAGAAGTTTACTAATATGGTTTAATGATAGAGCATCTTTATTAGAATTTATAAGTTTGTTAAATAATAAGCTTATACTTTCTAATGTTGAAAAACTAGTTGACATTTTGAAAAAAAAAAAATAATAAAAATTTATTAATTTATAAATGATTTTTACACAATTGGAACACGTGACTTAAAGTTTATTATTTTTTAATAAACTATATTTGTGTATAAAAAGATTGATACTTTGGCTGTACCCCATGAACACGAAGTCTATACAAACAAGTATAATCGTAATTATTCCAATTACTTTTGATTTTCATCACTATAGCTCTTATTGGTATACCTAAACTATTCACTTCAAAGGTTTGTATGGAAGGTCCATTAATATTATAAACAAAATTTCCCAAAAATAAATGATTTGGTGATGAGCCAAGTTTTAAATCCTTTCCACCAACTTTCATATAACTCGAATTATTATCATTATTACTATCATTCGAATCATTCAAATTATTTTTTGGGTTATATTTACCATTATTATTACTATTATTATTATTATTTAATATATTTTCATCACTTTCTTGATCGTATTCATCATTTTGTTTTAATGGTGATCCATCATTTTGCTCTTGATTTTCCTCTTCCTTTTCCTTTTCATAATTAACATAATCATCATCGTCATCACCACCTTGCTCATCACCACCTTTTCCCTGTTGATCAATATTATTATTATCAATATCATAAACAAACCCCCAAACTTCAAATTCTTTTGGTGCACTTGTAACATCCATAGCTAACTTTTTAGTCACATGCTCATATGTTACTGCTGTAACAAATATTTTTCTACTCAATAATACAGCCAATTGACCTTTTTCTCCAGCAAAAGGCCAACATTGACCAACATGCATTTCAGGTTGAATAGCTGTTATTGGTGGTTTACCTCGTGTGATTCCATGACCAGTTACTGATGCAATAATTTGTTGAAACAATTTTGTAGGCCAAGTTTCATATGTTGGAGATGTCAACATACTTATGATCTTGGCACCACCTGATGAAAGAGCATAATCAGCTCTATTCAATTTATCCTGCGAATAATCATATAATTTCTCTTCTACTGATTTATGAATTTCATTTCTAATTAGATTAGCAATCACATCATCAACAACGTATCTTCGATAAGTTGTAATTTCGTGATTAGCTTGTTGTGACGGCGGCGGTTTAATTCGTTTTTCCACTTCAGCAGCACATATATTTTTCACTTGTTCTTCAATTACAGCCCTAACCAATGAATCACTGTACTCAAAACCAACTTCATACTGATTTTGATGGTGATCGTCATCATCATTAATGACAATATAGTTTCTATATTGTGAATCAAGGTCGGTGGTTTTGATTATCCAAAATGCACATTGATGATTTGAAAGCGAAAATTGACAAGTATAGCAATAACTTAAAAACAATACAATTGCTGGAAATATCCACCATTTGGAATTGTTCAAGTAGAATGCGAATGTTTTTATAAGAATTCTCTTGTTTAAAATTTTTCTACTATGATTCAAAAGAATTGCTAATATATTTTGAAAACTATTTTTTTTGATCCAATTTCTCCAACCATCGGAACCATCGTCGCTTTCATCAATTACATCATTACTTTCGTCATTAACAACATCACTATTTAAACTATTGGACTGAATATCATTTAAAATTTTAGTATCTAGAGCTTTATCTAAAACTCGATCGCCCTGCATATCAATTATTTCATCATAATCATCATCGCCATCATTATTGTCATTGCTTTTTTTAATGTCTAATGATGGTGTTGCAAAAAAATTCTTCAAGCTTTTTTGAGAAAGTTGGCTTAAAAAAGAAGACATTTTTGATTTTGAATCTGCTATTGTTGTTTCTTCTTCTTCTACTCCTCCTTCACCTCCTCTGTCTTTTTCATCTTTTTCATCTTTTTTTTGACCAAGAAACATTCTATCAGAAGAAGATCCCGCATTATCATCTTCATAAGCAAAAAAATATGAACCAACTACTGTTGATTGTAATGATGATGGATATGTTGAATTTAGAGAAGAATTACAGAAACTACTACTTCCTGATTCATCATAATTTATATTATTCCTATTTAATTGGTTTGAATTAAAATCGCCAATAGAACTATTATTATTATTATTATCATCACCATCATCAAGTTTTTTAATCATATTATTATGATCAGTTTTAAAATCGTTTTTATTTTCAGTTGTTTCAGTTGTAGTTTGTAGCTGTCTTCTTGTTTCACATGCTGGTTTGGATATTTTACTTTCTTCAACATTATTATTTAATAGATTATTTTTAGTAGAAGAAGGTTCATCATAATTACTTTGTCTTGTTTTTCGCGTCGACATATTTGTTAAAATGAATGAACTGAATTGGTAAATATTAAAGACTGAAAATTTTAATATTGTTGTTTACAGTATATGCAAATTAAGGATTAGATTGTTTTTTAAAAAGGAGTTGTCCACGTGATAAAAATTATCAACATATTCACGTGATGTTATTTTTTGTTCGAAATTTTTGGGATTTCATTACAACAGATAATAATAATAAAATTAATCAAATTAGTTTCTTCATTGTTATTCAAGCCTTATTGAAAATTACAATAGATAAAATGATTTTAATTGATTGAAAAGGATAAAAAGTCCAAATATTATGTTTAATTTCTTTATTCAGAGAAAATTTTGATTTGAATTTTAATAACTCAATATTAAACTTTACAGTGTCTGTATATGTTTATTAAAATAAATGATAAGTGGTCAGCCTAGTTGATGTCACTATTGAAACTTTGTTGACCTTGTATCCAATCCCGTATTCTTCATTATTGTGCATCTAGATATCACATTTTTTCTCAGAATTGCTTAAAATTCTAGTTTCAAGAAATACCTTATAGGTTTGATATTACACAGCCGCACATAGTAAGGAATAAAGCCCCCTTTGATAGTCGCTTCAACGAAAGAGTTTTTATTGGCAGCTAAGGGATGGAAAATTATATTGTAACGAGTCTTCTGCAAAAGACTGAAATTTTCTCAAGAAATCTTTGCATTGAAACCCTGAATCAATGAGATCCTTCATAGAAAAGATAATATGTATTTCACGGTAAATCAATGATGATATTGGATGTGAACTAAGTGCTGAGCGTTTTGAAAAGATTCTTGTACAATCACAAATAATTTAACTCTACGTGTATCACGTGTCAATCTTTAATTATAAAAAGTGATGGATTTTTTTAATTTCCATCTTTTCAACTTTCTCTAGTATCAAATGTGAATAGTAGAAAATCACACAGATTCCTCTAATAGAGTAACGAACTTGAATTTCCTTATTTCGGCCAATTCGCTTAACAAGAGCTGATGCCATGGTATGATTTTTGACTATAAATTTTTTGTTTGGAGATACGAGTTAGTATGTCTTATAAGCTTATCTCTATGTCCAGCAAAGAATGATATATAGGACTAGAGAAGAAATAAATTGATCTCGTAGCCCAATTTAATTTGACTAAAGAATGTGTTGCCAGTCAAATTCAAGGAAAAAAATGGCATCAACAACGTAAGTTGGTTTTCCCATTTATTATTATAGTCAGTAACGGATTTGTCGAATACACTGACTAATAGTAAGTAACCAACAGATAATTTTGAAGAAAACATCAAATATTTATTATATTAAGTGATTATTAATTAATAAAGGAATAATTGATAAATAATCCAAACAGACGAATAAACCTTTTACTGGTAAAATTCAAAATTAAGGATGTTTTTACAATTGTTGGAATATTATCTAAAAAAAAATTAAAATAAATAACTATTGCTAAACGCTTTATCTTGCTATTTATGATTGTTAATTTTTCTTTCTGATAATTTGAAAAACTTCATATTCATTAGCAAAGAATATATAATTAGGACTAATTTTATTCTCGTATTTTCCTTTAATACATCTTCCTTCCCAATTTCTCTCATATTCATTGTAATATTCTGTTAGGATTAAATCGGATCCAAAACATGGTCCATATTTATTATATTGAAGTATAGCACTTTGTGTTTCAACCACTTTACTAAATATTGTATTATTTAATTCGTTGTGTCCGAGCGAGAAAATAAAACTTTTTTTCGTTTGATTAAATTTACCATTATCATCAGTTTCCCAATTCAATGGATTATAACCTCCAAGGATCTCACCTGAATTGTGTACTCTTAATATCGTGACAGTCGGACCTTTCAAATCACATTTTTCGTGAAATATTTTTGGTCCAAGTCCATCTCTACTACCCCTAACTAATAATTTAAATTCAAATGGTATGTTGTGTGGTTGAATGTCGTTGGGATTATTGTCATTTATAATCCAACCTGATATCAGTGCTAAATGTTTTAATGTTATAAGATTGGAATTGAAATCTGCATTGTTCAAATTTTGAAACAAAGTTGATATGGCAGTATCTTGTTGTGATAGATGAATCTCTAATATTTTATCATATAATTCCTCATCAAAAGCTTTTCTAAATGGTTCTACTTTATTTTTAAAATCTTTTGGATTAATAAATGCAAAATTTATCAGTAAAACGCAAGGTTTAATAATTTCACCAAACATCCTGAAATCTTTTGTTTTCCATTCTGACGATAAAGGTGGTGGTGATAAAGTTGGCGACACAGTCATTGAAGATGACAATGAATCCATTGATGACGAGATTAATGATGATTGATCACAGTGGCGGTGATGGTGGTAGAATTGATTCAAACCCCATTCAACCAACTTCTCCCATAAACAAATTTCATTCACGAATAAATATTTTGATTTTAAAAGTGTGATTAATAAATCTTGATTAATTTTAACAAAATCTCTTGCTCCCTCAAAAATTACCAAAGGATCATTCTTGATTGTTAATTCACAAAATTCTTTCAACCTACTAAATTCATCATGTTCTTGCGCAAATTGATAAATCATTGCAAAATTTGTTATTAATAATTCCTCCATATGATCCTTTAACAATAACTGATCTTCCAAATATTCTAAAATATCTGTTAAACCAAATTCTCCTGCTGCCTTCATCACTTCTAATATTGTTTCTATATCATTTTCTGGTATTTCAACACACCCGCCATAAATATATCTAATAACACAATAACATTAATGATAGTAGCAGTAGCATTATTATATTTTATATTTTTATATATATATTTTTTATATAAACTGTTCTTACTTTAAAATAATATCAAAAGCTTTTGGTGAAATATTTGGTTTTGTAAATATTAATTTATCCCCTTCAGTTTTAGCCCAAACATTTGATAAAGCTGTTAGAAAATAATTTGATCGTGCACGTAATATAATAGAATGCACTTTAAATTCTTTAACTAGTACTTCATTCTCTTTCTCCTCTCTTATTTGATCATTATTATAATAATTTTCACCAACTCTTATAATAACATCAGAGTATTCACCAGTTTCTAGAAACTTTGTTAAATCAGAAGATAATATATTTAAAAATTTTGTAGCCATTTTTTTATTTTTATATTTTCATTCATTTTATTTTTTGTTTATTTATTTGAATATAAATATCACATATCACATTTGTATTGTCACAATACCTTTCGTTAGAAGCCTTAAAATACGGCCAAGCCACTCAATACAGTAAACTACAAGGTTCTCAATAGGAGCCAAGAATTTCAAAATATATTTAATACTATGTAAGGTACACAAAATTTTTAATAAATTATTATTTTTTTCAAAATTACATAATAATCCCAACAAAGGACAAATACTCTTAGCAAGAAATAGATGATTATCAACTTTAATTTTTATTGTACACGATTTCGCGTGTAAACTATTGTGATGAGATTTGTCCAAAAAATTTTTTCTTTATTTATTTATTTATATATCAAATGTAATGTGCAAATTTGGAAATGAAAGAAGACCGCGCCATTTGTTCAGGATTTAAAAAGCATATTCAATAATGCATCAATTTTTGATTTCGTTCGTCTGCATTATATATTCCTTTTAATAAATAATAATAATAATAACTGGGGCCCGCGAAAAAAATTTCTTAAATTCTTTAATGAGACATCTTTTATGTATCAAAATTTGTAAAATTTTAGATAAATATATATCAGAAAAGAAATATTCGTCGAATCTCATTTATATAACAAAATTAATACATCCAGGGTTAAAATGTATTATTTTAAATTTTATTATTATGATTTACTGTAGTTGGTTATCTTTGTTGCAAATAGTCCAAACCTGATATACAGTAGTAGCATCTAATGCTATTGAATTCCACAATAACTTATTTAAATAAACCAGAAAGTGATTTCTAAATAAAGTAAAAGATGTAAAAAGATGAAAAGAGCAATAAAAAGACCGGCGAAAACCCAAATGGAATTTCGAATCAATTTCTGTGGATTCTTTATGGAGTGAATATGTACCAGTCTTCCATTCTGAAAGATCTTCATTTCTGGGTAACATTCATTCTCAGTAGAGGGCCATTGTGCTTTTCTAATATAATTATGTTTTTAGAATTAAAAAAAATCAAACCTGGTGATAATTTTTGCATTTTCGAATTTTAAAATTTTAACCTTTTTGAACGTTATTAAAATTTTGTAAAATAATTTCTTCAATCTATTTTTCGTCATAACCTTTCTTTAACGCTTCTTTGATTCTAAGGGTATATTTTTGTCATGGCCTTCCTCGAGCGTTTCTTTGATTCTAAAATTATAGTTTTTCGTCATAGCCTTTCTTGTACTCTTGTCCCTTATCCTTTACTACTATCACTAGTTATTCTCAAGGTACAGTTTTACTTCGTTTGCCTTTTATTTTCGGAATTTTACGTTTAGGCTTCTTCAGCCATTAATTATATAGTATATGATAATAACATATGGTGTCTTTCGGTGGTGATAATATTTACCCTTCCTTTCGTTCAATGGCTATGGTGTTAATGTTTCCTTTGTCTTTATCCTTGTTTTCACAGGCAATGTTTTTCTTACCACGTATCCTGTTTCTTCCACTTTAAAATAGTATGTATCTTAACTTCAGCTTTTCAGCCGAAAAACTTAATTCCAATAATTATCTTTGGAGCCGTTCAAATATTGAATAAACCAGAAATAAAAACAATTAAAGGAAGGAGATGAGGAGGAGATAAGGAGAATAATGTTAGTAATTATGAAATAATGTTCAATTTATGCTGCTAGGTGAACAAGTTAAAACTTACACAAGCTTATTTTTATATCATTTAAGAAAAAGGTTAATCTCACCTCCCGAACTTGAAGGATATGATGCAAATGGAGAATTCTCAGTGAATGGGGAGCTTTGAATTTTATTAAAGTTGCATTCGGTCTCTTTGTTTTTGAAGAGCTTGTCGAAGCCTCTATACGTCAGGGCGCCGCGTTCCTAAATCATGGATGTCTGTGTTGATGACCGAAATAAACGTGATGGTTTTTGTGATTAGAGTTAATAAACTCTCTATTCTTTGATCGGTTTTTATTTTATTAATTTCTTTATTCCTTTCATTTCTGATTACTCTTAACTCTTTGACAGGGGATTTACACCATTGATGAAAAAGTTGAATTAGTATCCCCTGTGTCCTTTGAAATGGAGTAATAATCTATTATCACATATAGATCCTTAACATGTGAGGATTTAACAGGAAATGGTGGCATTGGCAAAGAAAGAGTACTGTATCTTTTTAATTGAAGCAATAATTACTATCATATAAATCCTTGACATTTGTTTGAGATTTGCAAAATAGATAGAGTAGAGAAAGTACTGGAGGTAGAAGTGTTTTTTTTTGCATAGACATTGCAATTGGAATAACAGGAAGGGGAATGCGTACCGTTAAATGATAACTTTATTTAAACCTGACTCCTAAACTCAATCAACATGTCAGGTTTAATATTTATTCTTTCGGGAATAATTTTTTAAGGAACTATGGATTGCAATTGTAGAACGAATGTGTGGTGAATAACGAATGCATTTTATATGTAGATTGACATTGCTGTGTGGCCCTTTCCAAATTTTGTTCTTCATTTTCGCATGGTCTTGGTATTTTTATTACAATTTATTTATTATTGCAAATCTTTCTAATGAGACGATTTCCTTGCCTGCAAGTATTTTTCTTTACATAAAAAAATTTTTTTACCAATATAAATTTAATAATAATATCTTTCATCGTTTTATCAATGAGGGATTGAAGATCGTCTGTAATTTGGAAAAAGACACCATTGAAAATTTCCAAGAAATATCAGCAATGGATTATAGTTGGTGTTGGTATTCAATAATATCTGTGGGAAAGTAGGACATAAATTAAGAGAATAATCAATAAGAAATTTAAGAGATCCTAACAACTCGATCTACATAATAGTACAGAACAATTTTATCATCAAAATTATTTTGCCTGCTTTCATGTTTAAATAAATATCAATGTGCTTAAAAGATCTATCATGATTAGTGTTGGCGGTCACATTCAATAGAGTTTTCCCGGTCCTATTTTACTATTACTATGTTCACAAGCAATTTGAGAATAATATTTCTTGTGCTCATCTTTGATGCTTATTTATCATATATATAGATCCATACGGCCATCATTGATGAATTATCGATTCAATATAAACAATTATATGCTTGAATCATAATTTAATCGTCCAATCAAAACTCGTAATTTTAAGTTATATGAATGATATGATTGTCACAATACTGTAATAGTAATAAAGTTTTATTTAAAAAAAAAAAAAATGCCTCCATTTGATTATAATGATGCAACCTTGACACTTCAAGAGTTAAGGAAAACTGGTCAAAGAAAACCTGATGTGGTTGTTTCATTGGGCGATAAACTTATAAATAATAAAAACTATTTTAATAAACTAGGTGATGAAGGTAAAGTAAGGAACCGCACTTTCAACTCCTTATAATAATCAATTATTTTGTTAATCTAACTTTGATTTTGCATTCTAGCCTGGTCTGTTTTGGAACAAGTATTGATCTCTTCGTTGGATGTTGGAAAAGAAGAGTTGACAAAGGTAATAAGAAAAAACCTGAAATCAAAACACCTTTGACTTTATGTATAAAAGGTGTGTATATAATATTGATTGGAAGGTTTTCTTTGGCTCTTCTTTTGAATAAAGTCATGTTTAGAGAAACTAGAAAATAGATTTCCAGAATCTCCAAGAGTAAAAATTTTACAAGCAATGAAATTGGAAAGTGAAGATAAATTGAACGAAGCATTATCCATCTACGAAGATATTCTTAAAGATGACGATGCTAATATTGTAAATATGCATTTATACATATATAACTAATCAATTATCAATTAATCTATTGTTTGTTTATCTGGCAGATAGCTTTGAAACGTAGAATTTCAGTATATAAAACTAAAGGTCAGGATCAACAAGCAATGGAATACTTGACACAATATCTTGATGCTTATTACAATGATGCAGAGGCTTGGTTAGAATTAACATCTTTATACTTAAATTATCATTTGTAAGTAGCCATTATGTTAATTGTTATTGTTGCAGCTATTATTATTATCCATAAAATGATTCATTTTAATCACTAATTTGATAATATTAGATATCAACAAGCATCCTATTGTTTGGAAGAATTAATATTGTTGCAACCACAAAATTATTTTTTTCATTTAAAATATGCTGAAGTCTTGTACAGTAATGACAATTTGATTGATTCATTGAAAGGATTTTGTAGAGTGTTAGAATTATGTGGTGGTTATGAAAATAATGATTACCCTGAAAATATTAGAGCATTGTTTGGAATAAAATTGGTAAGATTATTTTCATTTCCAATAAATTTACCATAATGTCAATAATATTGTCAATAATTTATTATTTATATCGATTTTAGTGCACATCAAGATTGCTTAATTTGCCAACAAATGCATTTTCCTCCTCTTCCTCCTCCTCCTCTTCCTCAACTATTAATTTTCCATTTTCAGTTGATATTGATTTAGTTAAAGATTTGAATAAATTGGCTATTGAGCGTATCTCGAATATTTATTCAAAGAACAACAACACCAGTAATAATAGTAGCATCATAAATCAATGGTTAAAAGATTAACAATTCTCCATACATTTACACATTTATTTAATAGCTTGTGTCATTTGAAATGTTAAATTCAATAGAAATAAAAATCAAAATAAGTAATAATAAATTTTATCTAATTTTATAGTCCCTTCTCAAGTAATGAATGATTAAAAGGAAAAATATTAAATTTACCAGAAACAAAAATTAATTAATTTGGTTGGTGTTTGGCAACAACATGAAAACCAATGATCAAATTGCCTTATGTATTCGGAAGGGAAAAAAAGATAAATCTTATGAATTTTTCTTTAAATAATAGTATATATAATACTATAACAAATATATGATATCAATGGAATGTACTGTAACAACATGAACATGATTTTCTCGTTATTCGATATCCCCTGTAGTAATTAATCTAAAAGTGTAGATTTAATTTTTCTTTTTTGTTATATACATTTTTTATTTTTAAATATAAAGTATACCGTAAAGTCCCGAAAGATAGCACCCTTTTTAACAATTGTTTTAAAAGTATAATTTATATAAAATTCCCACGGTGGAATAGAGGTATTTAAGAAAAGAGCAAAAGAATTGTTATATCTTGTATGTTTACCATCAACTTTTCTTCACTCTTTGTATATAATGTTTTTCTTATATTCGGATGCTATCTTTTCAAAGCCTCCATCTTTTAGATCACTAACGTTGGTAGATATTTTCTCCCTCTAAATTTCGTAATTAGGAAAGAGAAATTTTTTTAGTCTTAAGAATTACACCAAAATTGAGACAATTTTTCTTCATCTACAAACATTGTTTTTTATCTTTTGGACTTTCATACATTTCTAGTTACAATTAGAAAACTCCCCAAAACTTCTATTTTTCTTAAACCATATGAAAATTTGCATCTCAATTCTTTTTTATCTTTTACCAAATTTGGGGTGATACAGATATCAATACTTCCTAATTAACGCACTAAAAGAATCGTGCAACAAATAATGAATATAATTGAAATAATGATTTATTATTTTTGGTGTCTTTTTAGTATTTCAATACATTAGACAAAAAGAAAGCACCACAATTTTATATGTATATATAATGACGGAAGGAGCAAAACAAGAATGTAGTATCTGTTGCGAAGGCTATTTAAAACTTCAAGAAATCACTTCCGAGTGCAAGCACAATGATGCCTGTCCTGTTTGCATCAAACGACATATTGAAGCTGAGTTGAACAGTAAAGGAGATATTGTTCAAGTGCGATGTCCAAAATCTCGCTGCACAACAGAGTTGACTTTTGATGATGTGAGAAGATTGGCAACAAAAGAATTATTTGAAAGGTAACTTAAAATTTTGGTTTATAAAGGAGCCTTTTCAACCATGCGAATTATTAAATATATTGTCCTGCATGATAAGGTATGACACATTGTTATTGCGCAATGCTATCCGTAAACTTCCTGATTTTCGTTGGTGCAAGGCCCCAAAGTGTGGTTCTGGTCAGGAGCATACAACCGGAGGTGACTCCTTTTTACAATGGTTTACAATATTTTCTTCCCATATTACACTAATCTATTGCCTTTTTATTGCCCATTATCAATTACAGATAGATTACCCATAATGACTTGTAGTGCTTGTAGTGCTAAATCCTGTTTCACTCATGATGTTCCTTGGCATCAAGGCCTGACCTGTGCACAATTCACCGAGCAACTGGAAAGCAAAGATTATACTGCCAATCGTGCCTATTATGAACGACTTACGAAACAATGCCCAAGTTGTCAAATGTCTATCGAGAAAAATCAGGGATGTGATCACATGAGTTGCCGCTGCGGTTATGAATTTTGCTGGCTGTAAGTATTTAATCAGTTCTGTTGTCCTTCGAAACTTTTCATAAAAATCTTTTCCTAAAAACAAAAATCTTTAAACTGGGACAGTTGTCTTGGCGATTACGAAAATATTCGTAACAATGGTAATCATTATCATGCACCCACTTGTCAATACTATGCAGCCTACAATTCAGAAGATGAGCATGACGTTGATGACTATTATGATGAAGAAGATGAAGATGAATATGAATATGATGATGATGATGATGTAGGTGATGTTGATGTTGTTGATGTCAATGTTGATGTTGACGCTAACGCTGATGTTGATGTTGTTGGTGTTGATGTTGGTGTTGTTGGCATTGGTGTTGATGTTGATGATGTTGATATCGATGATGATTTTGACGATGTTGATGATGTTGATGATGTTTATGTTGATGATGTTGATGATGTTGATGTTGATGATGTTTATGTTGATGATCTTAATGTTGTTGATGTTGATATTGATGTTGATGATGAATATCAAATGGAAGTATCAGATGATGATGATGATGGTCAAATGGATGAATTAGATTTAGTTTTATGAATAATAACCCTCACTTAATATTCCACCTTGTAGTTATTTTTAGCTTTTGTAATTTATTTAAAAAGTTGACTTGCACTAACATTTTGATTACTAATTTAATAAATACAAAGTTTTCAAATTTTTTTCATAAGAAATTATTATAAATATGTATTATTGATGAATTAATTGGGAGTCTTCCTTGCTTAGGAAATCAGTCACTTTCTCAATTATCCTCAATGTCGTTTTTAAGAGATTAATGAAATGTCAATGATGATTCAAGCAACAATGACAAATATTTTATTGATCCACAAAAATCATTTTATACCCTTAGATTAAAGAATATACTATGTTTCCAAACTGTGAAAATAACTGCAACTAATGCTTTTGAATGCCTACTGTTCCATTATTCCTTAATACAACTCCAAAGTGAAAATTATCCATAACCTACATACTGCACCAGAAATAATTGATGAAATTCCAACTCCAGGCTCACCAACAATAGCTTCATCCTCAACCAAGAAGTCTTTGCCTCTAATGTTGAGACTTTTTAAAACGAATTTTTGTTTTAAAAAGAAATTTTGAGTTAGAAATTAATCCTTCTTCCAATTCATTCTCATCATTATTATCATCAGTAATTATTGTATTTGATAAGCCAGTCTTTGATCTATTTTTTAACCCATCATCAACTTTATTTATTAATTAATTAATTAGCCAAGGATTGTCTTTATTAGTATTAGTTTACTATTTATTGCTCATTAATTGAAGGAATTTACACTAAGGTTGTAAACACAATTATTATTATTACATATTGGCCAATTGACTCATTCCATTTCAGTTATCATTGTCAATTGAGAATGATTTGTTAAAAGACTACAAAGATTCGCCATCTTTTGTTAAATTTTTACCATATTAACATTATTGATTAATTTCCTCATGTTATAAGGAAGGTTGTTTCTCGTTATAGATGTTCTGCACTATTACTATATTAAATATTTCTTGGATCACATGATCTATTCAAACAAAATTGGTTTTTTTTTTATCAAAGATGCCCAACATGCCAGAAAGACCAAGATTCAAGGAGGGTTTAGGTAAAATCAAAGATGAGGATCTTTTCAAAGAAATCAACAAAGTTCCATTATTTATGACTGAGCTACCCGAGGATGAAAGAGAAGAAAATGCTGATTTTATCAGCTTTATAATCTTTGATTTATGATGGACCACCAGAAGGTGTATATTTATTTATTTATTAGATAATTGATTATTCTAACATCACAATCATCCTCATACTCGTCATTGAATGTTTAAATAGAAATTGCAGAAAATTTTAAGAATCAAGGAAATGAATGTTTCAAATCTGGCAAATTGCATTATCAAGATGCAATAAATTTTTACACTAAGGCATTTTAGATACTGATTGCAAAGATAATAAAATGATTGAAGCTTGTTTAACTAATAAAGCTGCCATCAATTTGGAATTATGTTAGTATAAACAATAATCAATCATTATTGGTGGACTAGTAAAATGCTAATATATATATATATTCTGTTTATAGGAAATTATCATAGAGTTTTAAATGATTGTGCGAAGGCATTAAAAATCAATCCTAAAAATACCAAAGCATTTTATCAATCCGCAAAAGCTTTATATATGCTTGATAAATTAGATGAGGCTTTGGGTTGTTGTGATCATGCACTTTTGGTAAATTAAAATATATTCAACATGCTAGCCATTCATCATTCATTTATATTATTAGCCATGTATGTATGTGTAATAATTTATAAACAAAAGTAAAAATTAAATTGATCCGAATAAGCTTGCCATGCAAAAAGAGAAGGAAAAATGTATAAATCATAAGAAGGTCTTGGACGAGAAATGATAAAAACAACTAGAATTGGAATTAAAAAAAGGAAAAATTGCATTGGAAAAGGCGATAAAGGTTTTTTTATTTTTATATTTCAATTGATAACTGCAGCAACTACAAAATAATAATATTTTTAATTACTTTTGAAAATATTCGCGATATTCAAATGGAATCAACTTTGAATGTTCCTGACTCACCACATTCTGTTCATCTTCATCCAGAATCACAACAATTAATATGGCCTGTTTTTTTTTCTATATCCAGTGTACAAAGAGTCAGATTTTGTTACAGCTTTTAATGAAGACACTACATTTCTTGATTATTTAGAAGTAATTTTTGAAAATCCTGCACCTAGGGACATTGATGGCAAATATAGATCATTAAATAATTTACAAATTTATTTTGGATATGATCCATCAAATAGTGGAGAAATGGATGCTAAACCAAAATTAATTAAGATTGGAAAGAAATGTATTCTAAAAGAGGCATTATCTCACCCCCAAATACATTGTTAAGAATGGTATTCTTAGTTTCATCATACTACCAGATAAAGGAGGTTTTCATGATGAATTTATATCAAATATAAAAGTTAGACTATATCAATATTATCTTTTATTTATTATCATTGTTACTATTATTATTAAAAAATTTTTAATCTTTTTCAACAATACGTTGAAGATGACTATCTATTTCATCAACTGATAATGTTCGAAATTTCTTATCATCTTTTGTAACCACGCCAACTTCAATTTCAGTTGATTTAAAATCTGCAGATAGTACTGTAGAAAGCGTAGTAATTGCTAACTATAATATATATTATATACATATATAAATTAGTAATTAATTAATTTGAATATATAATAATAACAATATTTATCTGTAATATATATATGTGTGTGTGTGTATAATATAAACATACTTCTATAGTTTCTTCAAAATTCAATTTAGGATCTTTTTTAAGTTTTTTCTCCAAATGATTTAAAGATTCTTGCTGTTTAGCTCCAGCTGCAGTAGCTTTGTATCCAACATAATAACCAGCTGGGTCGCATTTGAAAAGTTGTGGACCTTTCTCATCATCGTATCCGATCAAGATCATTGCTGAAATATATATTATTATAAAATGTATATTTCAAAGTTTTTTTTAAAAATAATATTTAATAAACAACAACATACAAACACCCAATGGTCTCATAGCAGCATGCTGTGTGTATACTTGGTTGATATTGGCTATACGTTTTGCGAGCATATCAGTTGGGATCTCATAACCGAACTTGTATCGAAATTCAGCACCTTCTTGTCTTGCACGAGTAACTTGAGAACGTGCGTCCGCTTCAATAATAAATTAAGTTTATTCGTTAAAATAAAGAAATTTATTATTATTATTATTAATATGTTAAATATTCTAAATTTACCGATCAACCCTGTCATAACACATCCAACATATGGTGTTAATTGAAAAACATGTGTAATAGTTGATGGATCTAATAACTTGTCCTAATTCATTAATTATCTAATTATTTTAAAATCAATATATTTATATTTATATTTATATCCAGAAAAAAAAGTAGATTGATAACTTACGGGAACTTTTTTTTGTGTTACAATTACTACACTGTCATCTCCTCGAACACCTACAGATGTTATACCAGAATTTGATATTGCTTTGAAGGCATATTCTATTTTACATAAAAAAAAATCATTCGAAATCAATAATTGCCATCTATACAGTTAAATTTAGTTTCTTTTTTCAATTTTTTTTTTACACTTTTCAACATCATACCAACTTGATAAAGTCTTCCTTCTGGTGAAAAAATTGTAATGTGACGATCGTAACCTGCTGATGAACCTAAGGATTTTCAATAATAAAAAGATCAAATTTGCTGGCGCTATTATAATCATCAACAATTCAAAAAGAGTTCCTTACCACGACTCATAATTTTATATATGTAATAAATATGGTAAAGGAATTCAATTTCATGTGACCAAATTTTTTTTTATTTGATTGGACGATCCCATACAAATTATCAACCAATGGCAAGTAAATGTTGAGATAGCAAACGGATAAACATTATTTATTCCAACCAACTAGAAAGAAGTTGAAGGAGAACATTCCAACACCATGTATTACAATGCTGTTACTATCTTTGAAACTGTTCATCATTAAACTCACATTTACCAATTAACAAACAACATGCCATATTCTACTTGTTATTAGTGATGCGATCCACGGATATCCAAGACCGCCATTTAACAACCCAGTATGTTATAAAAATAAAAACAATCATGAATTTTATTATTATTTATTTATTATACATTTTATTTTGTATCCACAACTTTAAACATAATATTTAACTCGCACGTCATCAATTCACTTGTTATGCTTAGTTTACAATTAATTTCTTTGCGTCAATCTTAAAGCTTTCAACTAAAATCGAAATCGAAATCGAGATTCGAGCCTTTACTAAAATCACCCTTTTTGAGTTTGACAAATAAAGATTCCGAGTCGCCAATTTTGTTTGAATTTTGCGGCACCTTTAATATTAGTAATGATGTTTGTTACTCTCTTCTTGCATTATCTTATTTATTATTAATATTTTGTTGCATTGTATTTTGACATATGCGCTTAATTTGTATTGGTCAACAAAGTCGAGTAAGCAGTCCAATAGAGTATATAATAAACAAGTTGAGTCCATGTATTTTAACAAAAACTTTTCTTTCTTGAATAAAAGAAAAATAACAAGTTTTGGCATGAAAATAATCAAACCACACCCAAAACTACTTGCTGGTAATAAATACCCCATTCAATTTGATCCTTTATTTTTATTGTCATTGATTGAATTTGCTCTCCCAAAAATTAATCGTTGACAATAATAATTATAAATTTTTTTGTTCACAAAGGTCAAAGACCAATACAACCCTATTGATTAATCAATTATTCTTGAGATTATATTGTTCGTGTACTATATTACTACAAGTAGGATTATAGGTGTGAACCAAGAGTATTTTTTACTGCAGTGATCTTGCAAAAATTATTACCAAATGTATAATTGATCTCTATCTAAAGGTCGTATTTTCATACACATTTTTAATGATAATCAAACGAGAATTGAGATCAAATTTTTCACTTCATTTTCTCCACAAACATATATCCTTTAAAAATTTTATTCAAAAAATAGAAACCATTAACATTATCAAAAGAAAAAACCCAAGGAATTAATAAAAAAAGAACATTAAACCAGTTTTTAAAATCTGGGATATAGAGGTTTAAAGTCATGTTTCGCAACGCACTGGATGGTTATCTTAATTTATTATTATTTTTTTTTTGAAGATTGTATTTCGTCATTATGCTGAAGAATACTCAAAGATAAGTTTAGGATATTTGCATATGTATGATGAAGTTTTGACTGATATAAAAATAATTTTCTTTAAATATACAAGACGGTTCGGGTCACCTACATTTGGATCGTTTCAGCTTTTCAACAATTTTATATACCATAATAATATAAGCCTATAATGTTTTTTATATTATTATTGTCAAAAACATGGACTACCAGTAACTTTACATAATATCTTCATAAATTTATAATAAGTTTACAATTTTTGAATTTGAGAATGGTATTATAAAAATTATTTCTAATTATTATTACGTATTATTATTATTATTATTATTATAAAAAATTGATTTCCTATTATTATAGTAAAATCACACCCACAAGATCCAGAGCCAGGACCAAAACAATCAGAACCAATACCACCACCGACAACAACAACAACACCGCCAGAACCAATGACAACGCAACGACAGTGACAAATTGTGTTGTGCCTAAAACACCCTGTTTGTTCTAGTTGTGAATTTGCTCACGTATGTTGCAATTCAAAGTCAAATTCAAATCCAACATGTATATCATCTCAAACGACTTGTTATCCTAATGTTGACGGTCCTAGCTCATGCTGTGATCCAGACCCACCGTGTTTGTGCGAGGATTGTTCATCACAACAGTGTATACTGGTATCGTGTACACAGCAAATGTGTATACCGGTATCATGTATATCGCATGATTGTGTACACCAGTACCGTGTACTACCACTAACATTGAAGAGCATGTCACTAGTCCGATTTATACCACTATTGTCAACACAGATTATACCACTGTTGAGAATCCAAGTTATACTACTGATACTGACACTGAATATACTATTAGCACTGATTATATTACTAGCACTACTACAGATTCTACTACTAGTACAGATTATATTACTAATATCAGCACTGAATATACTACTACAAATATTACTCCAGAGGAGAAAATGTTAATGTTAAATGAAAGCATATCAGCAAGAATTGTTAGCATGACACAGATATCATACAGAGTTGAAAATTTATTTACTGGTGTTGTAGCATTAGCACCATTAGCAATATTATTATTAGCTGCATCAGTTGCAAGTGGATATATGTTTTATTAACAGAGAAAAAAACAAGTCAGGAGGTTCACAAATTCTATGCAGTATAGGACATAGCAGTACAAATGCCAAGACTCAAAAAAGAAGAAAAGTGTGGTTCCCATTAATTTCTCATCTTAAAAAAATGTCAAAAAAAGAATTAAAACAAGTCAAGGACTTTACAGTTGGAAAATATAATGTTGGTAATATTCTTTATTCTGTTCCAGTTGATCTTAGTGAAATTGAAGCCATAGAAAAAATATTTGGTAAAACTATTGTCATTGAGGATAAAAATTGTATAGTTTATGGAGAAGGTTTTAATAAACCACCAATCTTAATAAAAGAGCTGTTATGTAGACAATCCGCACTGTATATTAATATACTACTTTCTGGAAATAAACTTTCTATAAAGGTAATCGAATGAAGATACATATGAGTACGTGGTATTCATTTCCTACTGTTTTATTATTGATATTGAATGATATGTTAGAAAAGGACCTCAATTAGTTGAATTAATAAATAAAAACAATATCTATGTTAATTACCTTGATCCAATAAACATGTCTTTTTATAGCTTAATAAATGGCAGAAGCGCCACGTTACACTAATTTTTGGATAATTAAGATCATTGAATTTTGACCCGTGTTAGTATAAGTATTAGGGTATTAAAAAGATGAGCCATATAATTCAGTGTATTAGTCATTATTGACCTTAGTTAACAGCTATATATAATCTAACTATGGCTGAAATTTTGGTCGATTTGGGAAATTTCTAGTCGCGGCTACGGCTAGTTGATTCGCAACACTAGTACTAGGACAGCTTTCATGACAAGACACCATGCTTGTATTGATTTATAAATGCCACCTTTTAAAAACAAGGAAATAATAATAAATTCTAACCCCAACAGTTAAAAAAATAATCCATGATTACATTTTACCTAATATACATCCTGAAGAAAGATTAAATAAGGTGACAATGTTTAATAAATCTTCTTCTTCAAAAAGACTAGTCATCTTCATCTTTATTTGATCAGTAGATCAGCAGTAGTAAATAACAATGACTTTAACCTTTTTTGAGTGTTCGTAATTTTTTCTTTCCAGTTTTTAACTTACTGGTCATAAAACCAAAAAAAAAATTTTCAGCATCTTCAATATTAAAAAAAGGAAGGCATACTACTAAATAGAAACGATTAGATGTAAAATAGCACTAATAGATAAACTCTTCTTAAAATTCATTCATTCATTTAATAGTTTCAATCAACCATTCTTTAATTGGCTTGTTCATTCAATGTTCATTAATCATTGCGTCTTTTTCACTAGTCTTCATAAATTCAATAAATCCTTCTGATTTTGTTTAACTTCATTAACACCAACTTTCAAAAGTAAGAGATATATAAGCATGATAAATCATTTTCTTCGAAATATATTCAAAATTATTTTCCTTCATTGTTCTTTTCATGTTCCCCCAAAATGCGGAAACGATGCCTTCATATATAAATTTTTTCTTTCTTCTATATATATGATTTTTCTAATTCTTGAAGGTCTGGATTTTTGAATATATAACGTTTGAAAAGGTTATGAGATTTGCAATAGATTATATATATTAATATATATATATATATATATATATATATAATTTTTTTTTGTAGGTTACTTAATTCATTGATACCTACTTGTATATAAAACTAAATTTATATATATTCATGGAGGAATAACATTTTAAAAAAAAATTTTTTTTTAATATATATATTAAGATAAATTCCAAAATTTTATCACCTATTCCTAAACAAGTTATTGATATTCCAGTAAATGCTTGATAATTGTAAAAAGAAAACTTCATTTAATACACTAAAAATATTTTAATTCCCACTCTTCAGATGGTCCTTTTTTTTTCTTTCTTTTTTTTTAATGCATACTCCTGAAACATATTAAAAAAGAAACTGTAGTAATACCCAATTATAATACTTGAAAAAAAAGAAAAATTAATATGAATATTGAAAGTTTGCAAATCTGTCAGTCATCAATATCCGAAAATAATGAGAAAATTCTATTAATTTGAACTGACATGCATACATATATACACGCACATTATATTGTTAGTAATTGATTATTCAACATTATATTTTTCTTTGACTTCATAAATTTATCAACTAACCAATTTAACGTGAATAGCTACGAGAACTCCTTCTACGACCTGGTGAACTTCTCCTATGTCTTGAAAAACTGTTACTACGAGACCTTCTTCGACCTCTTGACCAACTACGGCTCCTAGATCTTGAAGGACTTCTTCTTCTACTAAATCTTCGAGGAGGAGAATGAGATGGTGTACGACGATAAAAATTCCCACTACTACGGTAATAATGAGGTCTATCACCCATATATTCTCCAGGAGTAGGCGTGTGTGGTCTTTGTGTCAAAGAATAATCAACGCGCATATTTCTGCCATTTACTTCCTAGAATTAGATATAGTAATAAAAAGTTTTAAGATCAAAGAATTTATTAAATATTATTAAAAACATCATAACAAAATAATGAAAATGATGAAAATACCATTCCATTGGTTTTTTCTTTAGCGACAGTTGCTTCTTCGATTGAATCCATGTAAACAAATCCAAATCCACGAGATCTGTCGCTCTATACAATGTAAAAAATCAATATTAATCAATTATTATTATTATATTTAAAGTAATAATGTAATTGAAATTATTTTTAAATAAACAATCATTAATATTACCCTGTGATCATAAACTATTGTAACTTGATTTACTTTTCCATATCGTTCAAAGATATTTTGTAAATCTCTTTCAATAGTTCTAAGACTCAAATTAAAAACTCCCAATACACAACTAGGGTCAGGTTCCTATTAAAAAAAAAAAAAAGTGATTTTAAAAGTTGACCATCATTTAAAACATCACGAATTAATATGTATGTGTATGCATGTATCAATAGTAAAGCATACATCTCTGTGGCTGTGTCTCCTATTGCGACTTCGTTCACGACTTCTAACAGGACTTCGGGTTCTAAAATATAAATTAATCACTTAGCTATTAACTAAAAAAATAAAAATAAAAACAGAATAGATTATGAAATAGGGACCAACCTTCTACGTCTAGTTCTAGTTCTAGTTCTAGATCGACTTCTACTAGAAGAACTTTTTGAAGGAGAACGACGTCTTGAGGATCTGGTTCGTGGTGATCTACTACGAGAGCCACCTCGCTCATTATTTGTGAGTGGATAATTTTGTGTTGAACTCATTTTTTATGTACAAGTTACTGATAACTTTGTTTTAATGAGAAATACAAATATATATTTTTTTTTTTACTAGTGTCACGATTAAACTGATCAATACGTTTGTAATACCCTATATAGTCACGGTGATAAAACAGGACCCGGATTATAATTAAGGTAAAAAATTGAAGTCTGGGTGATCTTACTATTAAGAGTAAAGATCCATGTACCCACGTTGTGCTGTTGATGAATTAGTCATTATATTATTAGCTAATACTAATAAGAGTAAAAGTAATTTCGATGATCATTTTAATTTATTGTGCAGTGTCCTCCTTGTCCATCACCAGTATTTTCTATAAAAGCTAAATTGAAAATCTCTCGCCTTTTCTTTCTTTATAAAAAATGGCCATCTCAATTCTTTGACTATTTTCCTGTATCCGATTTTTGCTCAATGTTGTCCCGCGCCTGGCATTTTTGCATATTTTAAGCATCCCAAGGCTTTCAAATTTACAGCTACCGAGTATGAATCTATTTCGATTTATGATCAATCATGTAAATCCTCTTCATCCGTTCTACAAACTATTTTCCGTCCTGATAGTTTTGTCACCGAAGGTGAATGTTTGCCAGATGTAAAGAGTCCAACTTCTGTATGGTTATGTCAAATAAGAATATTTTCATCCAAGAGAAACTAATTTACTTAAGGGTAATGTTATATAGATCGAATGTGTTATCATTCTCGAAGGTAATTATTTAGTACTATCACTTTAACACATTTTAATAATTTTCTAACCAATATTTCTTTTTTTATAAATCAAGTTGTCCACGAAAATAATTTTACGTTTTTTTTATACATGTAGTATGCGTGTTATCTTTTTATTTTTAATTAAACAGTTTTATTACTATTGTTCGATTATCTTTTTTTTATTATTTGGAAATTTGGATAAAATGTTCTTTAATATTAATTAAACAATTTGATTATTGTTGTTGGCAATTAATCTTTTTTATTATTGTTTCCCGCTTTCACCTTTTTGGATTTTTTTGGATTTTTTTAAATTATATCACGTGAATCTTTGTAATGCGATTAATATTAGTATTGCTGTCCGTTCATTGTAACAATATTTAATATTAAATATAAAATTCGTTGAACCGAGGGTTTGACTTTATTAGTATACTATAACAGACAACAAAATAAATAAATTTTTTGAATTGATCGCCAATGCCTGTATGTATCACAATTAGAAGATCAATATTTTGGTAACAATGAAAAAAAATAATAATTGAAAAAAAACTATAATAATATCTTAATTACTATACCATTCGTTGTCAATTTCGGGTTAACAAATTTAGGCACATTTTATTAGTAAATGAATTTGGAGATTATTATTAAATAAATAAGGTGAAAATGTAATGTTACCAAGTGACTGGAGTCCAAAATCCTTCTCTGATAATGCGTTACTATTAATTCAGGAACGTGATCAACACCACAATTACCACTTTTGTAGCACAACTTGTTCTGTTATTCCGGTTTCTTTAAAAACCCTTTTCTGAAAGAAAAAGTGTCATTTTTGTCATTATTACCAAGAAGGCAATGATTACAACAATAATCAAAAGATTTATATCTAATATCGTTAGATTTATTTTGAAACATAAACACAAAAGCAGAACAGTATTTCCTGATCTGATCAATTTTGAGCCACTGGGAGTCTTTTGACTACAGCATGCATCAGTGACGTTCTAAACTTTGACAATAAAGCAATATGCATTTTTCAATTTATATAATAATTAATTTCAATTGGTTGTTATTATTTTATTCACTAAAAAACATTCATTATGATAACCTAACTAAAAAAAATATATTTCTAGAGTAATATTTATAAATAACAATCGAGCATTTTTTTTATCGTTAAATTTGCATTCAATAAAAATCCATTAATTTTATTTTTATCATATGCATGATCTTACCTATATTTTTTCGCGATAATATGAATAATTCAACATCAATCATTTTAATAATCGTCTTTTTATTTGTGATATTATTCCGAGCCGTTGTTGATGCAGGTAATTTTTTTGTATTTATATTATTTATAGTAAATTATTTTCTGTTAAAATAGATAATATAATTTTATCAATAATAGGAGGATTATGTTGCTATTCAACATCAGCTGAATTAAAACAAGTACCCAATTTATATTTGTTAAATATTACGGCATCTCATGTAAATTCAAAAAAATACAATAATAAATATATAGCTAAATTTGGACTTCCTCAAGGATATTTAGCACAAGGAGATCCATCATCGCCTATTTCATATGTTCATTGTTTAAGAAATGCCAACGCAGAGCCTGTTTATGAATGTGAATCAATAGATAATGATTTTTTTTTTGTGCAACTCTTAGTACAATTTCCAAAAGTTTCACCACAAACATCACAACCAAACCTATTAGAATCAGAGACTGACATTCCAGATCCAATAAATCAAAATCAAACAATCACTCAAAATATTGAAAATGACAATGGTACCAATCAGGTGGAATTGCCTGTTGTAAACATCTATATATTTGGTGATAAATGTGAACAAAGGACTGTTTGTGGAGATTTGGCTTCATCAAGTGAAAATCAGGATTCTGATAAAATTTCACTGGGTCCATTTGGTACTTGGCCAAAATATGCTATCATAATAGGTGGTTGTATTTTAGGTTTGGGATTAGTAGGTGCTCTTTACTTGGTTTATAGAAGAAACGTTGGTGAAGGCGGTGGCTTTTACAAAAAAAACGAGAAAAAAGATTCAGTATCTTCTCCTAATTTATTTTTAGATTCTGGTAATAATCATGATGATGATGACAATAGACCAAAAAATGCTTTTATAGATATAGATATTGATGATGATGATGATGATGATGATGATGATGATGATGATGATGGTGATGATGATGATGATGATGATGATGATGATGATGATATCAATAGTAGTAATACCAAGAATTACAGTAATCGTAGTAGTGGTATTAATAGAAATGACAGATCAAACAGACTTTCAAAACATAATAAACTTAATCGAGAATCCAAAATCAAACAATTAGAGTCATATATAAATGAAGATGAAGTTGTCAGAAACACAAAAGCCGTGCTACCAAGATCAAGTTTAGAATTTGATAATAAAGACATCTACATTCATGAATTTGTACCAGCGTCTTCTTCTGTTGTCATCGAGGTTGATAAAGATTCATCGTTGTCATCCAGCAACAACAACAGCCATCACAATCACAATAATCATCATAGTAGTCATAGTAATAGATTCTCTAAAAGACATTCTAACAAACTATCAACAGATGATAATCAGAACCTTAATCCTGAAGTTTCATTCTCAATACCGACCAGGTCACGAGATACAAGGGGGAATGGGAGTGGGAGTGATCACCACGATGGAAGAGGTTCATTGAGTGCTTCCAGTTCCAATTCACAATCTAAAAGAGAACCATTTTCAGAAAGTCGGACCACTGAACAATCAATATCAGGAAGACAACATCGTCATTCATCATCACCTAAAAATAATGATGATGATGATGATCCCGAACTACACCATAAATTTTCTACAAGGACTCCATCACGCCGTGATAAGAAATCTACTTCCAATTCGGATTTTGTTAGTAAAAATAATAATAGTAATAATAGTAATAATAAAGAAAGATCAAAATCACTTCGGGAAAAAAATAAAGTTAAGATTGATGGTAGGAAAATAGATTCTGATTCAGAAGGGTCATCATCATCATCTGATGTACCATTAGGTGATAAAATACCATTAGCAATTTTGGCTATAAGATCACTATCTAAAAAATCACTGTCAAATCAATCTGCTAGATCACAATCAAAAAATGGTAAAAATGTGGCAGTGGAAGAAGATGAAGAAGACAAACCATTAGGACAAACAATATCTTCATCAAAGGAAAAAAATCTAGATGGTGAGGATAGTATTGTTGGTGATTTTCTTGGTTCAGTGCTTAGTGAAGCTTTAGCAGGTTATTCGGATTCGGGAAGGGTCAGTAGTAATGATATTAATATTGGTGGTGATGAAGAAGAGGACAAAGGAAAAACAACAAAAGAGCAAATTATAGAAAGTGATGATGAAATACCTATTGGAAAATTAAGGAATAAAATATAATCTATAATCTATTTAATTTATTTAATTATTAACTATTATTTTGTAATAAATTTATTTATCTTTAATTAAAAAACTTTAAATTAATCATGCTGTAATGTACAGCTCAAAATCAAATAATTACTGCTACTACTAACCAATAAATGTTAAAGAGTAAATTGTAATAATAACGAACGAAGTAAGAGGATACAAACCTGTGAAAACCAAACTTTCGCCATGGAGATATTTACGATGAAAAGATATCAAGATAAATTTTTTTCTGCGAACGATTCCTTCAAAATGTCATAATCTGTTTGTTTGTTAAATATTCAAAAGAAATTCTTCAGCGACCCCCATTTTTTATTGTGTGAACGGGGGTCTGACTTTATATGGGGCTCCAGCAACAAATTATTCTTTCGTAGATTTTTTTAATGCAATAATTTTTGTGTTACCATGTATTTGAACTGCATGACCAAATTTGGTAACGAATTTCTTTTGTATATAAATAATAATGAAAATAATTTACTTAGTCTCAATTTGGAATTTCAACTTTTTTTAAAAACGATAAAACTTATCAGTAAACTTTTTTGTTTAGTATTAGTATTTTGATATATACTAAATAGATGATCTGCACCGTAAAAAAATTTATTGTGTGTAACAATAAAAATAGGGCATGTAGATCATTTATTATAAAAGTAAGTATATAATTCCCCATTTTTTAAGCAAATAGGGTCTAATATTTTCACAATGTTATAGGACAGTATTGTTATTATGTAAAAAACAAATTCGAACAAAAGACCTCGGAGGTTATTTTTGCTGGAGACAGTCCATATTATATGTAGGTCATATTAGATAAATTTAAAATTTAAATAATGGTTTTTATTGACGGTGTAAAATATGCATGGTATTTATAACGAATCCCCTTTAAATGTTATTGTTCTTAATATAGCAAATGTTCGTTATATTCATTGATAATAGGGGTAATATTAATTTCAAAATTTTACTTTTTCACTTATTTCTTAAAAGTGCAACTTGTATAAAAGGACATAGGTCAACATCATGTCAACATCGCGATAGGCCATTACTTGAAATCAAAAGAAAAGGTCGTCCCATCACTCAATGCAACAATTGTCGTGAGCTTCGTAAAACCCAAAACCTACATATTAAATGTAATTGTAACGAAAGAAAAAAAGAAGGTTAGCTTGTTTATTTTTCATATATGTATATTTATATATTTATCATAAGTAATTGTTGATTATTCATTAAAACCTTTAGTAACTCCTTCCTTGTCACAATCCAAGTCATCCGTAATAATAACAAGTTCTAATGATTCTTCTGAATCACCTACAAATTTTGATAATTTCGTTTCAAATTTGAGTAGTAGTGATAAATTAAAAGGTGAGAGATTAATAATCGATTTAACAAATTAAGTTAGATAAATTTACTAAAAAAAAATATATTTCGAACAAATTTTTTCTTTTATAGTCCAGTCATTATTAAACCCATGCAAGTGTTTAACTGGTGATAAGTGTATTTGTTGTAGAGACGAAGAAAATGAATTCATCTCATCAACAGAAAATTCAAATCGAGATTGTAATACTATGGAAGGGTCTGATGAAAAGTCAGGAGACTTGAGTGGCGTTTTAGGAGCTGGAATATGTAGTAGCACACCCGATGATTTGGTTAATATAATTTACAGTTCATTTAAAAGTATTCCTTCAGCCAATAAAAGTGGAAGTTGTTGTGGTTCCAGTTCCAAGCCAATCTGTAGATGTGGTAGTGGGTGTAAATGTAAAGGATGTGACACACATGCATTAAGAGTTGACTTGAATCCTCAGGTACAGCCTGTTCTATCAAAACTTAAGACATCATGTTGTGCTGCACCTCATATTCCAAAACCAAAGCATACAGTAATAATAGATGAAGATGGAGTTCTTTTGTGTGGATGTGGTTGTAAAAAACCGAATTCTGAATGCTCTGGTTTGCGTTGAAAGTTTATGTGAAGGTAAAGTTTTAATAATTTATTAATAATAAATAAAGATTACAAATAAAAATATTTTTACATGATTTTATTTTTTATTAGAATATTTATTAAAACAACAACCAATTTAAATGCATTATTATTATTGCTTTTTAATAAGAAGGATGATTATAATTAATCCAATAAGCTATTAAATAAGTGTTATGCTATTAATTTTCATTATAATTAATTATCAACGTCTATATAACTAATTAAATTTGATTATGATGATGGGAATCCTACACATAGTTTTAAAATCAAACCCATTAGTAGAAGGTTCAATCAGCATTCCATGTTGGATTGATTAATAATTCACATTCATCAATAAAGATTTGGAAGATCTATAGTGTAATTTTAAGGTTAAAGTATACATATGTAAACTCGATAAGTCAGTCTTGCCAAAATTTTCACCCCATTTTCTTAATATTTAAGTAATTTAATTCAATAAGTCAGTCATATGAGCTCACCCCCACATGACTGACTTATCGAGTTTACATATGTAGATCAAATATTAAAAGAAATCTACATCAAATTATTATTTTGTGATTATTTTATTTTATTTTTAATTTGAATTGAGAAATTGTTTATAGATACAAGTTTATTATATATAATTGTATTTAGCTTGATCTTTTGTCAGACGTTTAATAATTTCAAAGGTTCATATCATATATGGGAAATTTTGAGGGCTGATAGACACTTGCAAAACCTTCAAGAGGCAGAGAGGTCTAAATGTAATTTCCTTTTATTTTTTTTTTCTCATTTTGATGGCTTCTGTTGTTTTTTGTTTTTAATAAAAATTAGAACACAATATCTGTAACCAGATGATATTCTTGGTCAGAAATTCTTTAATGTATGCATTGAAAATAATAGCATAATTTGAATCCTCACCAATAACAAAATATTTTGAGAACAATATCTTATTTGAAACCTTGTTATTGTTGGAACTGTTTGATGGATATAGGCTTTTGAGACATAGCATAGCCCTGTTATTTCAAGTTTATTAAAAAAAAATTTATAGGTATTAATATATTTAGAATTATAGTTCAGCAGAGTACAAATGTTTATACATTAAATGTTCCATTAAAAATATATCCGTTTATAGTTTAAAGTCTGTTCGTTTAAAACATCCCGGTTGTCTTTAAATAGTGTTTTGTGCCTGTGTCGCAGACGTTGGGATGGTGCTAATAATGTTATATATAGCTAAGAGAAGGCTAAATAAATACACATTAAATTTTATTTCAACATTCAAACGGCTTCTGGAACAAAATAATAACATATCCCGAATTAACAATGATTGGCAGTTGTCCTATTGCCATTTACCAGTGGGATATAAGAAGCACCAATATTTCTGACAGTGTTTTCCAGGGATAATGCTTTGTATATACTAATTACATCTATCTAAAACTAGTTGGCATTATGATAAACTATATAGACTATAAAAGATCTAACAATATCTGAAGATCAGATCACGAGACCAAGAAATAACTTTTATGTACACCAAATAAATTTGATATAGTGAACAAATAAAAATGATCATGTTCGGTGCTATGCTACATATGGTTGATTGGTTCAGTGGTGTTCTGTGGTGCTGATCAATCTAAAGTCATCGACAACAATTATAGGAAACGTTCTTAAATTGGAGTATTTTATGATATTTATTACTAGTTATTTGTATCTGTCCTATTCTTCTTGATCATATTGAACAATTTTGATCTCTGATGACACAATTACGATGTTCACTTTGTTGCGGTACGTCCAATTGATTACTTTTTAATCAACAATAATGCTATTATTCAAAGTTCTGTCTTTAATTTACTTTATTCAATAATTACCTTTTAATCATCTTAATCTTGTATCGATGGGTTAACCACACACTTTCCTAAACTTGAGGATCATAATGCAATGGATAATTCAGGGTGGGTATAAGGGTAATGTTGTTTGACGAAATGTTACTAAAGTTGTAAAACTATTACATCAAATTCACTGCCATTAAGTCAAAAATGACAAGTAAAATTGCTTTAAAGGCTAAATATATATTATTCCAAGGTCTTTTATTTTATTTTTATATTTTCTTATGTATCCCAATCTCTCCTTTGTTTCATTAGTTGTTCTGGAGCTAAGTTTTTCTTTTACTGAATACAATTTCAGTTCCCGCACACTCATTTACTACTAAACTCGAATATTTCTTATATTAATATTAATAACGTGATACATGATCGGGTTAGATAAAATCATTGACTAGGGTTCAGTACTTTATGTTCCAGGGTTAACTAATTTTAGTGTATAATTGAAAATTTTACACAAAAGCTTTTTATAATTCGTAAAACCATTATTCATTAAGTCAAAAACGACATAAGCAAGAACATTTAATGCAAGTAAAATTGCCTTAAAGCTAGTAAAATATAAAGCTTACAAAAAAATCATATAAATATATAAATTCTGTGTATTCCAATCTCTCCAGTCGTAGTTATATTTTTCTTTTGCTGGATACCAATTCAGTTCCCACACACTTGTTTACTTTGAACATTTGTTATCTTAATATTAATATCATGATGCATATGATTAGGAATTTGGATAATAATAATTGTGTGTTTTATGTTCCAGAATCAACCAATTTTAGTGTAGAAGTAGGCCTTCTACACATAAACTTCCGTAAAATTGCACATTATAATGATTACAATGAAAAATTTATGCAAAGCCTTTTATAATTATTATCAAATTACTGTGGGAGTTTTTATAATATTAATTAAGTTACTTTGTAACAACAAAATAATCTTGTAGTGATCAGCGAAGATTTCATCTACTTGAATAGAGAATAACTTGGGTCCTCGCTTGAATAATCAATGATATTTTATTTTATCAAATGAAATTAAACCTTTAAAAATCGTCAATAAATTTTTAAAAAAACATTGTCTTTATTTCTTTGTTTTTAAAGCGCTTTGATAAAAGCAACAAGCGTAATGCCTTGGTAAAAGGTAACAATTGTGGAGTTTTGTAAAAAGCCACGTTTATTTGCTTCAATGAGCAGGCAAAAGTTAGGACTAACGTTGGTTAACTGGTGAGTGTTAATGAAGTATTGTCCAAAGAAATACTGGTAGTATTATTGTAATAATAAGCATAAGGCTTTAAACTAGCTACTTAAGTTGTTTTGCAAATAAACCAAAGCGAGTTTGCAATTGGCCAATAAACATAAATGACTGAAATAAATTGATCACAAGTGAATAAAAGGAACTTTATAAAGCCCTTGAACTTTGTAAAGGGCCATCTTTATTTATTTGCAGTTATCTGGTATTAAGTGTGCTTGCAAATTTATCTAGGTGCAAGTAATCAAGAACCAAAGTAAATTCATAAATTAATTAATTGACAAACACTGAATTATTGTGAATTACTTGCAATTAACTGAAAAGAGTAACCTAAAAGTTAAGCCATAATCGTAATGTTACCACTTAACAGAATCAGAAAACTGCAAAAAGTTTACTATTTCAAAATATCATTATAATTTAATAAAATAAAAATAAAATAAAAAGATAACAAATAAATTTATAGTGGAAATTAAATTAGTCACTCATCAATTCTTTCTTTTAATTACTAGAATCTAATTAATCAAATGCAAATAAAAAGTATTATTAGTAATAATTAATGGACAGCAATTTCCAATTAATTAATAATGAAAATTTTATTCACCCTTGTTAAAATCATCATTTAAGAAAAAAGAGTTAAAATCAGGATTATTTAACAAACTATCATTACTTGTATAAATTCTCAAGCCTTTAGATTTAGCAATCTCTTCATCTAATATTCTACTTGTATGATATGCATATAGATGTGGTTTGTGTACTTGTTGCATAGCACTACCAATACTATTGCTGCTACTACTGATACTACCATCAACACTATTGTTATTATCAAAAACTTCCTTTTGTTTATTTGTAGCAAAGTCACAAAGTTCACTACTAATTGGTCTTTTTGATGGATCCACATCCCAACACCGCTGCATGATTTGTGCATAATCATCAGGAATTTCAGGTAATATTGGTGGTCGTAAACCTTCACATATATCAAAAATTAAACAATGATTATGAGCTCTATTGTCAAATGGTGGATAACCTGCAAATATTTCCCACATTAACATCCCAACACTATAAATATCAGATTCTTTTGTATTCTTTATATTAATTTTGTCTCCAAATAGCTCAGGTGCAACATATGGTACAATTCCATAGATTTTATTTGATGATTTTTCATCAGCTGGTCCACACAATCCTAAATCTGTAATATAACAACCACCTCCATCCATTAATATATTGCCACTATGTAAATCACAATGGATTAAACCTTTTCTGTGTATAGCATTTAATGCAGCACATAAATAATAAAAGATTCTAATTCTATTTTTTAATGTTAAATTTAAATGATTTTTTTGTAAATAATCTCTTAAATTTCCTTCTGGTAAATAATTTAAAACTATTGCATAATTTCCATTATCTGGGTAGTGTTCCTATTCATATCTCTAACTCCATATTCGAATATTCGTAATTTTATGGAAACGATTTTCGATTCTTATTCGAATATCCATAATACTTTCGAATATCCGTAACACTTTCGAATATCGTAACACTTTCGAATATCGTAACACTTTCGAATATCATAACACTTTCGAATATCGTAACACTTTCGAATATCCGTAACACTTTCGAATATCGTAACACTTTCGAATATCGTAACACTTTCGAATATTCGTAGTAATAATATTATATTGTAATTATAATATTAATATATATATACTTTATTTTTTATTTATTAATGTAACATATAAATTTTTAAAAAAATATAAAAACTATATTTTGCATGTATGCATGATTAATTGATGTTTAAAAGACAAAATTTTCATGGAAATTTTTGAAAAAAATATCAATTTGAGATGCCTTGCTTGAAAAATAGTTCATTGTTTTTGAAACTTATATATATGAATGTTTATATTTGATGATTATTCAAAAATATTATATTTCATGTTCCTTTTTAAAAATAATAACTTTTCTACTCTATCAGGTTTTAATTTGTTACGCTTTGGTGTAATATGGTTTCCGGCATCACTAAATAACCGTTCTGCAGGAACAGACGTTGTAGATATACCAAGATATTTTCTAGCTAATTTTGCTAATAGTGGAAAATTTTCCTTGTTTTCTTTCCACCATATTAGTGGATCAGCATCTTTTTTAACTTTTGAAGACAAATAAGTTGATATTTCATCTTGATTGTCATCATCATCATCAAATTGAAAAATTTGATTAAATATCAATGTTTCTTCTATTGACTGATCGTCTTCATTTAAATTTTGTGAATTATTTTGAGATTGACTTGATTCTTGTTGATTATTTTTTAGCAATTGATATTCTTCTTGTAAAAGCAATTTTATATTTTCTCGTTGTGTGGAACTCAAATGATTAAGTTTTTTTAATCTTGGATCAAGTGATGATGAAATAAATGATAAATCTGATGGTAAATCCCAATATTTATCAATTGATAATAATAAATTTTTTAAAATATGGACTTTCAAGCCATTTGTATCTATTGGTCTAGATATGTTAATTTTTTTTTTTGATCCAGGTACAGCTACAATTAATTCATCCGCTTCTTCTTCGTCAGGAATAACCTCAATATTTAAAAGTGAATCATCTTCTTCATCCATTTGCATCATTTCTGAACTTTCATCGTTTTGATTAATTGAAATATTAATGTTGTTGCAATCTTCAATGGAATTTAATATTAAATTCAATTTCTCCTTTAGTGAGTTGATTAAAGGATATACAACAGAAAAAGTAACATATGACTTTCCACTGAATTTTCTGGTGAGTTCTTCAAATCCACTAAAGATTTGCACAAGATCATTCATCAAAATCCACTCACTATCATTTAACATGATTCGTTCAAGCCTTTTCCCATCTTTTTTGTTATCTTTATTTAGATCAGCCATTAGTTTAGATGGTAAATGAGTAACTGCACTTTGTAAATCAATTAACCTTCTCCATGAATAAAATGATGAATTCCATCTAGTGCTGATATCTTGAATTACTGTATGAATATTTGGATAACTCAGCTCTTTTTGCATCTTTTCAAGATTTTCTTTTTGTTTAGGGGTAGTGAAGAAGTTGATCAATCTTTTGCATCTTAAAACGAATGACTGAATGTTTGTATTAATTTTTAATGCCTTATTTACAACTAATTGTAAAGTGTGTGCAAAACATGGTATTCTTATGATATTTAGATCATAATTAAGAAGTCTAGCAGCTTTGACCATATTAGCACCA